AACAACAGTCTGGGAACTGTTATGGGTCATCCTGTCCACAAAGAAAATTAATAACTAAAAGATGGACTCATAGCAAGAAAGGAAAAACAGAGAAAACAAGAGCTTCTGTCAATAAGATATAGATAAATCCCTGACTGGAAAGTACATTCTCCCAGCCGCTCAAGGACAAGGCCACTGAGCCCGCTGGTTCTTGAGAAGGAAAAACCCCCTAACCTTGCAGGTGTGCTAAATCTCTGTAACCTAGGAAACCTTATTAACCATCCAAGTTTTGAACTTTCCCATGACCTTGCTTTTAGGCCTAGTGAAAATAACAGGCTAGCTTTGAAACTGGCCTTGTTAGCTTTGATGTAAATCCTATAAAAGCTATCTCAATTCTGCCCTGGAGGTCCTCAGTCCTCTACCCCTGAGTGGCGTATGACTGTGGACTCCAGTGCACTTGGAATAAAAATTCCTCATGCTATTTGCATCGAAACTGCTTCTCATGGGTGATTTGGGGTGTCGCCTTTCCCGAGTGCAGGTCTTTCAGCACAGGTCTGTCAATCCTTCCACTTGGGAGGCTGAGCCTGGAGGACTGAATGTGCAGGGCCAACCCTCACTGTGGAACGAGTCAAAGGCCAACCCAGGCAACTCAGTGAGCTTCAGTGGCAGAGATTCACCTAGCTCATGTAAGACTCTGCATTCAATCTCCGTGGCAAAACCACAAAACAAAACAATAAAAACAATAAAAAACACAAGCACAGAGGGCTTAGCCCTGAGTCTGGCTTAAGCCATTTTATCATGCAATTATTACATCACCTGATCAAGGGCTTGCCTAGCAGGGTCTTCCACATGGTGATGTTTCAAATGTTTGATGACTAACCAGGACACAAGGATGAGGTCATTTACAGATGTTAAACATACCCCCCCTTTCACAGAAGAGACAGTTCAGTATAAAGAACAGAATGCAAACTCCTCCAAATACCAATAAAATGATGGGCTTATTAATGAGAACATGAGCCCTCTGATGTCAGACCCTGGTACTTACTATTTAATAAGGCAGCATGCACCCACAATAACTGTCACCCAACCGGCAAAGGCACCCCAACAAGCCATAAGGAAGGAATATAAATCTCCTATTAACAAATTGTAAAATATTAAGTGCCACTGGTGGTCACAGGTTGTAAAAGAAACAACTTATTCCTGCCTGGTTGCCGTTAATGAACAAATTAATTTATCTCCACATTGACTACAGTCAGGAATGAGCCTTGTGCATTGGGGACATTCCAGGGGTAGACATGGGTCTCTGAGTTTGCCTTTCCAACAGGAGAGACAGAAACATTCTCAGCTTACAAGGAATGCATTTGAATACCCAGACCTCAGAGAGATGAGGGGATCACTGGTAGGTTTAAAGCAGTGATTCCAAACCAGGCTGCTGTGGCTATGGTTAGGATGTAGTTAATGGCGCCATTTCAGTGCTACAGACTAGGTTCCCAGCCAATTCAGAGGCTAGGCTAGGAGAGTTGAATGTCTCTTCATTTTGTATGAAACAAATTCTTATATATCTAGTGGGTTGAAACAGATCAAACGTATGAGCTTATAGTTCTGGAAATTACAAGCCTCAAATCTGCTTCATTGGCCTGAAGTCACAATGTCAGCAGGCCTGGCTCCCTCTGCATGCCAAGACATGAGCCCTTATCCTGGGTTTTTAGTTTAGAAAGGCCACTTGCATCCCTCAGCCCATGACCCTTCCCTTCCATCACTGCAACCCTTGCTTTCTGTGATTGCATCTCTTACTACTTCCTTTGATCTCCTGCTATCTCCTAAACCCCCGTGGTTACTCGTAGCCGCAAAAGGGTTATTTTCCTGCCTCCAGGCCCTTAGCTCAGACACGCTTGCAGTGCCTCTACCCTATATGGTAACATTAGTAAGTACTGGCGTCTTTCTTTCAGCCCAGGACAGGAGCAGACACAGGAAGGGCCAGAACTTGAGCAGAGAGACAAAACCCAGGACTGGGTTGCAGAGTGTAGAGTGTGGCCTCATCATGGCAGGTTTGGTGCTCTCCAGGACTCCTGTGAAGCGAACTTTCTCAGGATACCGGATGCCGGATGTGAGGCCACGAGGCCTGCCTGCTAGCCATCCTTTTCTCTTTGCAGAGTCTGTCTTCCCCAATTACTCCTCTACATCTTCTCTTTTGAAACGGTCTGGTTTTGTAGCTCAGGCTGACCCGGAACTCAGTTCTCCACTTGTCAAAGCTGGGATTGCAGGTGTGTGCCACCACACCCAGCTCACACTTGTCTTATATTTCCATTTACTAGGACAGCGGCTCATCTAGAATCTTGTTTTAAGTTAGTCATGTCTTCAGAGTCCTACTCTGCAAGTGCAGGGTTAAGATTTCAGAGTACAATGTAGTAGGGCTAAGACTGCCCACAGTAGGTCCAGACATAAGCCAGCTCAGCCAAATGTTGGCAGCTATTGCAGATGACAACGTGGTATCTAAGGGCTGCCACCTGGAGCGTCTCAAGGACTCCCAGCAGCTCACCTGCCTATGGCTGGGACCTCTCTCCTGGCGATGCTGCTAACGTAGGATAGCTAAGCATGACTGGAGGAGCACAGAGACTGAGCCAAGAGGGTGTGTGTGTGTGTGTGTGTACATGTGTAGGTGTGGAGGCTGAGTTGGGAAATGGCAAGGTACAGCCGATGGTGGGACCCTTCACAGTGTGGTGGAGACATTGAGTGCTTTGCAAAGGTGCCAGGAGGAGGGAGAGGTGGCATTGGGATGCAACTTCTGGATCCTGTGATTCCTGTCTCCCTTTCACCCCACCATCTGTCTGGGCTACAAGGCTCTTTTACCTATTTCTGTTCTACCCACAGGCTCAGAAGTGGACTGGGTCTCCATCTAGCATATTTCTCAAGGCCAGACTAGCACCCTAAACTATCACATCAGCAAGCACCCTCAAACCCAGCTGGACTGGCCTTGGATGGCTGCTGGGCTCCTCTCTGGCCTGAACTTGGTTGACTGTCATTTTCGGAGCACATGACCTACTCCGAACTCATGACTTACTCTATCTTTGCTCCCATCTCTCTTTTATCCACCTACATGACATCTGCAGCCTTGATACAGGAATAAGAAATGGAAAAGCCCAAAACAACTGGATTAAGTTGAATCACCTTTATAAACGAGAGAATTTGTAACTCCACCATCCTGTTTATCATGAATGCTGAGATTTTTGTTAAATGTAGGGTTTGTTACCATGTAACTTACATCTGCTCACATAGGAAAATGAGAAACAACTGATATTCATGACATTCTCTCTTCTGACTGTATTCAGCCAGAGCTAATGGATAGCCATCCAAGCATTTCAAAATGTATGGGCTTTTTTGTCATTGTCTAGAAACAGAAATCAACAGATTTAAATTCTATTCCAATGCAGTCAGAATTAGATAAAAATCTAAGGAGACCATGTGATCTTAAAAATAGAAAGCAAACATTCCCGTCCTAGGGCTGGCTGCCCAGATGTCTGGGTTCTCCCCAGAGGCCAAGAACTGAAACCCAGGAACAAAGAAAGTAAAGACTTGGTGGGGAAGTGGGGTGGGATAGCAGGGCAGAAAGCCGGTCCCGAAGGGTGGGTTCTCCGGGCCAGTCTTTCCTAGGTGCCTGGATTCCACCCCTCTTTCTTTCTCTATCTACCCATCACCCCATCTCCTGAGCCCAGATGGCCCTTTTGGTACAGAGCGGTAGCAGAGGGTGAGACAGCAATCCAGCTGCTGATCCGGGCTCTCTCTCCACAGTCCAGCTGCTGGGTCCTCTCTCTCTAACCTTTCTCCTGATGCCTGTTCCCTGTTAATGCCTCACTTTGCTGCTGCGTGGCACGTACAGCTGCTACTATGTGACATCTGAACAGACTGCTGCAGAACTCCAGTCACGGCTCATTCCCCCAGGCCTCTCAGTGCCTTGTGCTGTCCCTACTGTCATTCACGTTAATGCTCACTGCAGCCCACAACCATATACAGAAGTCAGCTCACCATCAGCAGCAGTTGCTTACATCAAGTAAAGTATACTTCAGCTTAATAACTGATACAAAGGGAAACAGCTAGAGCACAGACAGGAAGAAATACTGCTGGAGCTGGAGAGCTGGCTCAGCGGGTAAGAGCACTGGCTGCTCTTCCACAGGTCCTGAGTTCAATTCCCAGCACCCACAGGATAGCTAACATTGTTTGTAACTCCAGAACCAGGGGGATTTGATGACTTCTTCTGACCTCTGTGGGCCCTGTTCACAAACATACCTGCCAACAAAACATCCATAAATATGAAATATAAATAAAGGAGAAAAAAACATATTATAACAGACAAAACTGGGCTGGAGAGGTGGCTCAGCAGTTAAGAGCACTTGTCCTTGCAGAGGCCCTGGGTCCAGTCCCCAGCACCCACAAAGTGACTCATAACCATCCTTAAGCCCATTCTGATTTCTGTGGGCACCAGGCACACACACACGGTGAACATACATGCATGCACGCAAAACACTCATCACATAAAAGAAAGAAAAAAGAAGAAGAAGAAAAAAAACTAAAAAGAATGAAGAGAAACAGGTTGTATTTGTTGAATTAAAAGCTCTTTAGAGAGTGACATTTAAGGACCTGCTGTGAGGGAAAGGCAGACATGTCACTCTGAGCATTGTGAATAGTGAGTGCAAAGGCCCTGAGTTAGGTGTTTACTCAAGCTGAGGCATAGGTGGACAGCCTGCCTATTGTGGGTGAGACTCTGAAGGGTAGAGATGAGCTCTGATCATGGAGGCCTTGGCAGGGAGTGAGACCTGGAAGGTGTCCCGAGTGACTGGGATACTGACTAAAGGGTGGGCTGGGAAACGACTTGACCTTACTTAGTTTTCTGGCTGCTTCAATAGAAGCATAATAAAAGGGCAACATGGAGAAAATAGTTCATTTATGTAACATACTACCATCCTATAAACTATGACAATTCCCATGTCAGGGCTGTAATGAGAGTCACATACATGGGTGTAATAGTAACAATTTATTCGCTTACACTCTCCTAAAACATCCACAACCAGAATGGCTTCTTAAATTACAGCTCTGGCAGTGAGTAGAGATCACAGTAAAGAATAGCATACCCCAACTTATCAGAGGAGAGTCTTAGCGAGAAATAAAGCATATAGTCACTTTCATAAAAGCCATTAATTTAGATGAGTTACAAATCAAGGTTTTTTTTTCTACAGTTCATGAAACTTCAGATGAAATGACAAGGACAGAAGGCTGCACCAATTTAAGTTAGGGTCTTCCTAACCCAGAGGAGTCCCTGCCATGACAGGGAGGCATTCTGCTAGGTAACAGCTGTGCTAAAGTCCAAAGAACACACTCTACTCACATGCCTCTTGCCTCTTAACAGACTGCTCATAGAAATCTAACATTGTGGTCTCTAGCCCTGAGTATTTTATAAGTGGTTTTATTTGCTCGGGTGAAATCCAGAGGCCTGGGCACGCTACACAGTGGGTCAGCACACACTCTACCTGTGAGCCTCAACCCTAGCCATTTGCTTCTTTGAGACAGGGTCCCACTGTCACTGAACGGCTTTGACCTCGAGGTTCTCTTGCCTCTGCCTCCTGAGTGCGCCACCAAGCTCAGCTGACCTGTTGATTTTCCACTCTAACATCTTCAGGTTTTTTTGTTTCTTCTGTCTTTTCTTTCCATAAATTCCCAAGGACAATCCCTAAAAACAAGAGTATTCCCAGTGTGCGGTTGGAGGTAAATTTGTCCCAGCAGTCCTCGGGTCTGTGGATATCTACTGTGTATATCTGAAAGAGAAAAAAAGTGTAGGCAGCACAGGCAATCTACTCAGAGAAAATAAAAGTTATACAAAGCCATTATTATACCCTATCTTCAAAAGATGAAAACGTGTCTTCCTGGGGATTCATTTAGGCTGGATTCTAAATGCTCTGGCAGAGGTGTGTGAATGTTCTGAGGAGTAATCCTTTGCCATGCTTGGTTCTAACCATAGGTCGGACTTCTCCAAACAAATAAATGAACAAACATGAAACACTCCAATCTCCAAAATGGACACCACAGCTAGAAACTGCATACATGGCTTTCTGTGATGAATCAGTCAGGGTGCAGGTGCTCTGAAATCATTGCATGCATGGCTAAGTGACTAGGACAGACATGACACACATGTAAATTTCATGTTTTAATTTGGGCCCCAATCCCAAGACATTTATTATGTACATGCAGATATTGCAAATTTCTAAAATGTCTAAAATCAAAGCCTTCTGGCCCCAGCACTCAGAAAGGGACCTCCACCTGCCTTGAGCACGTAAACTTGTGGGCTTTGAAGCTCCACCTTCGGACTCTGGCTTTATTTTACACAGCAGTTTCTCAAATAGTGATAAAAGGCTCTGCATATTTTTTGCTCTCACTAAATGAAGGATGCTCCTAGGTTACTATGACAACCACAGATGTTCTCTCCGTATGTTTCTAACACCCTCCTGTGCTCACTGGGGATCCAGAGACCCGGGTCTATGGCCAGCACCTAGATTACACACGTTCTTTTCACACCAGCCCTGTGGATATACCAAAAAGCCTCACTCAATTTTTCTTCCTTCTTCCCTTCCTTTTTGGACAGGGCCTCACTGTGCAGTTGGGGCTGGCCTTGAATTTTGGATCCTCTTGCATCCCTTGAGCTAGGATTATAGCACTGTATGCCATAGGCTTGGCTAGCCTAAACTGTCTCTTTTCTATTAGGATGTCAGCAGACTCAAAATCATGACTTCCTTTTTCATGGCAAGTTTCAGAACAGCCAGGGTTTTACACACACACACACACACACACACACACACACACACACACACACACGGGTGGGGGGGATAGTGTACTGACTATAGATGCACTTTAAAATATAAAGTAGCCTGCATATTTCTTATAATACTTAGAGATGCTTGTATAGTTCCCCCTCCTTTACCATCTAATAATTTAATGTATACATCTATTTAGACCAGACAATTAATTGAAGATTGTGGGCCTTGTAGAGCCAAGTTCTCAATTCTCAGGGACTCTGAGACCTTCCAAAGAAGAAAAGGTGAAAACAGTAAAGAATCATGAATCCTAGCATTCTATCAAGGACCATCAGCCGGTGTAGTCTATGTCAGACTAGTTCTGTCATGCATGTCATTCAAGTCTTGCCTACATGACATACAGTTCCCAATAATACATATAAAGCACCATCTAAATGCAATTCATGAATACCTTCTTGTTCTATTCAAAGAAAACTACCACACTGGTATAGAAAAGGTCCACTTTTTTGGCCACTGGTCATTTTACAAGTCCCTTCAGAAGGTTTCGATATCGGCCTGTGGCAGTGGAGGGGCTGGGAAGCTGGAGGGACATTACAGTCACAGCTGTTTCCTAGCCAACTCGGTTGAGTCAGCATTTCCTGCCGGTTTCCTTGTTCAGGAGCTGGGATTTAAAACCAAGGCCTCGAGCACTGGAGGCAAGCCCTCTAACACTGACCTGCATCTCTAGTCTGTTTTCATTTGGAGATCAGGTTCCACTCAATGGCTTAGGCTAACTCATGGATCCTCCTGGCTCAGCTCTCTGAGAAGCTGGGATTCCAGGTTACGGGACCCATGTTTTACCTGGCTGTCAGTGGTCTCTATAGCAATGGAACTCATGATTGTTATGTTTTAAAACTGTGTGTGTGTGTGTGCATGCACGCACCTAGGGGTACGCTCACACACACATGTGCACACCATAGTCTCCACATAGGGGTCAGAAGACAACTCAAGGGAGTCGGTTCTCTCCTACCATGTGGGTACTGGGGATCAAAACTCAGGCCATGAGACTTAGTGGCAAGAACCTTCACCAAATGAGCTACCTGTCTGGCCCTATTTTATTATTATTACTATCTTAAGGTTTATCAGTTTGCTTTTGGAGTAATCAACTTAACCCACAAGCTTCATCTACAGTTGAAAATTTCCCAGACATATCAGAAGTAATTTCAGGAAAATCAAAGGAGGAAAAAAAAATCCTCATTTAGATTTGTTGTTTTTCTAAATTAACAGGGCTAATTTTATTTTGTTGGTTTGTTTTGGTTGTTAGTTTTGAGACAGCCTTGGCTATCCTGGAACTCATTCTGTAGACCAGGCTGGCCTTAAACTCAGAGATGAAACTGCCTTTGCCTCCTGAGTGCTGGGATGAAAGGCGTGCACCACCACATCCAGCAATGCTAATTTTTTGATATGATAAGTTGATGAGGAGGGAGGGGCCATTCAAAGTCATACAAGCTAACAAGTTTATTTCAGAAAGTCCCTTGCCTAGTTATCTGTGGTCAATTTAAAAATAATATACACGCTTTATAATAAGGAAAACTGAGGGGAAAGTTAAGGAAGAGGTCAAACCTGATGAGTCAAGTGGGCTCCGACCGCAGCCACAGCAGCGTAGTAGGGGAGGGTCTGACCACAGTTGGCTCCTGCAAGGCTCAGTGCCCCCAGCATGACGACCCCAAAGCTGCTGAGCCATTTCTTGGTGTTCTCCCTGAACAGCAGTGCCGTGGACTTCAGGCCAATCAGAGCGTCATCTTTTTTGTCCTAATACCAGGAATAGGAAAGTATGGAAATCACATTTCTTAGGTATTCAGCTTAGCCCTTTTTACTATATTTACAAGGTCAAACAACTATCTCTGTGCTCTAACAAAGAGCACATGCGTTACAGAATGTGGCACTACACTGCCAGCTACAGCAGAGGTGTGAGGAGCCATTGGAACCATCAGACCACAGTCCGCACAGTCAGCAGTCGGCCGGCTCCACGTGCCACTCTACTTCCTAGGACCCCATGATGACCTGGGGTCCGACTTTCACGACATTAGGACTAAAACTCACTGTTACATTCTAACGCCAATTATTTTATTTTTGAGGTAGAGTCTCTCCACATAGCTCTGGCTGCCCTGGAATTTGCTGTGTAGACCAGGCTGACCTTGAACTCACAGCTCCATTTGCCTCTGCCTGCTGGGAGACTTAAAGCCCTGTGCCACCACATCTGGTTTCAAGCTTTCTCAGTTTCAGAGGTGCTGTTCCCTGCATGACCACACCCAGCCACTTTCCACTCAGCCCAGTTAACTCCTTCATGCAGACCTGGGTGCTGATGGTTTTGCTGCTGTCCCTGTCACTGTCTCCTGTAACTAGCGCGCACACACACACACACACACACACACACACACACACACACACACAGAATAAATATTCTGTTTTTAAAAGTTCATAAATGTATCCTGACCAGACATACAAACAGTAACTAATTGATGTGGGGAATGTATTAATCATTTCATAATGTGTATGTATGATAAAGCATTACTTCATATACACTGCATGTAAACAATATTTATATTCACTGGACTTCAGGGAGGCTGGCAAAAGTATAACACACAAGATCATGAATCAAGAAAGACAACAAGAGGCATCCCAAACAAGCCACACAAGGAAACATCTGTAGAATGCTTGCTCCTCTGAGTAAAAACTCCTTTAAAACAAGATTTAGTTTACCATGTGTCTTCCGTGTATGGGTGCCATGGAGACCAGCAGGTGGTATCAGATCCCCAGGAGCTGGAGTTGCAGGTAGTGTGAACCACCAGATGGGGACTGGGAACCAAACCCTGGTCCTCTCCAAGGGCAGGGAGCACTCTTAAAACCACTGTTCTTGAAGTTTTACTCATACACTCACATGCATGGAGTGTCAGTGATGAGAACATTATTTAATTATCAAAACTCAGTAACAGCTTGGTTTGCCAAAACAGACATATTATATTTAAAACCATGATGGCATTCCAAATCAAGGAACTATTAGGTGTTTTCAAGTGACAATAAAAAAGAATGTATTAAAAATCCGTGAATAGTCAGATATGATGGCTTTGTGCCTGGGACCCAGCATTTGAGGCTAAAGCAGAAGTGCTCAACACTCTTCTGTGACACATGAGACACAGTCTCAAAAACAACAAAAACTAAACTGAACAAAGGAAGTGCGAAAGGTCTGCCTAACATGGTGATCACAGACACAGAGAGAGGTGCTGAGCAACTCGAAGCATGGAGCATGGAGACCATGTGGGCTTGAATGTCAGCTCTGTTCCCCACTGCACAGGGAAGCACAGGAAGTCACTTACCTATAAAACAGGGACAAAAAAGACACCCGCTGTGCAGGCTGTTAGGGAGTTAACTTAGTATTTGTGAAATATTTAAAATGATGCCTGGAACATAGTAAATATTATTTCAAAGCTTGTGAACAAGACAGAATAAGCCAGTTGAACTGCTGAGTGGACAGCAGTAAAAATGAACAGAGCTGTTTTGTTGAATGAGGGGAACTGGGGTTTCTTTTTAGGGAACGATGGCTTTCCTTTCAATTTGGTTCTCACTTTAAAGTCACTGTGCAGATGTGTAATCCCACCTCAGGGAGTAGACACAAGAGAATCAGGAGTGCAAGGTCATCCCTGACTATACAAGTTCAAGGCCAGCCTGAAATGTTGCCTCAAAAAAAACCAAAATCAAACCAAACAAGAAACAAAAAGCATTCTTAGAAAGCAATAGCAGCCAAACCAAAGTTAAGAAAAATATAATTCCTTTACCTGATGGGCATAAATAGTATCATATATCAGTGTCCACATAACTCCAGAAAAATAAAGAGGCAGGCAAACAGCTGGGTCACAGGAGCCCTTGACAGCAGACCATCCGAGTAATGCGCCCCAATTAAAAGTCAAGCCTACAATGGGTGAGGCAGGAAGAGGGGAAGAGGAATGTACATCAGCACTCTACAGGAACATGCGGGTGAGCAGCATGTGTCAAATGCTCACTTCTGTCAGGCCCTGAGATGCTGCCTGTGTCCTTCAGAATCTTCTCTGCCTCTTGTGGTTGGTACTTTTTATTTGTTCCATCTTATGAAAAACCAAAATAGGCACAGAAAGTTTAACTAGTTATTAAAATAGCATAACTGATAAAAAGAGTAATATCCTTTAATAAGGGAACTACAAAGTTTGTGCCTGGCAGAACCAACAAACTGTGTGTGCTGGGTTTGGAACACACACCTGCCAAGCTCAAAGCCTGTGTCCTTCCAGCCTCACTCTACCTCCTCTCTCAGCTACGGGAACAAGAGTACAGACAGAGCAGCTACTTATTCTGCAAGCCAGCCTCTTCGAGGTCTGTAAACCCATCCACATGCTGACAGCGCCTACGTCCTACCTGAAAGGCCTGTCACCTCCTAGGCTCTAGGCTCAGCCTTCTGCTGCACACCTCTGCCTACAAATCTCTCAGGACCTGAAGCACGAGCAGTGTCTCGAGGCAGTCTGCAGAGACCTTTTCTTACAGTGTCTGTTCCCACTGGGAACCCCCTTCCTCTACTGAGAAAGCATCTCTCTCTCCTTTTTGGTCCTATCACATTCATGTTTGTCACCCTGTACTTCAGTATCTGTTGTCCTCTAGCTCCATAAAAATGGTGACTGTGTTTTAGTCACGTTTACCTTCTGAACACCTGGTGTGATTTCTGGCACAACAACAAGTAGGGACTCGGTAACTGTTTAGAGTAATTACACCAGCTTTAATACATAAGTTTGAAGATAGTTGCTTATACTCCTTTTACCAAAAGATTTCCAGATCCATTGGAACATTACTTTCCAGCTTAAAAAATGAAGAGAGAGAAAATCCAATGAGGATAAATATTCTGTCACAATTTTCCCACAAGTCAAGTCCTCATTACCCTATGAAATCTCTTTTGATTCTCTTATTACCAGGAAAATGGCTCATAGGATTAGAATCGGCCCAGGAGTAACTTAGAATGCCCCAGAAATAGGACAGAATAGTCTGGAAATAGTTTCTGATCTGGCTGCCTATCTATCTCCAGTTCACCAACAAACACTGTCTAGAGTGCTTGCTCTATGTGATGCCGGTGCTGGGCTATACGTGGAGATGCTTCTTAGTCAGTTTATTAATGGAGAGACAGCAAGGCACAAATACATTTTTGTTGAAGTTTGTTAAGAGTGGGAGCTGTGGAAGCCATCAATTTTAGCCTTTGTTTGTCTCAGAACTGCTTCCTACCTTACTCCTCAACTCCTTAGGATGCCCCAGTCAACCATCTTTTCATGACTGTAAAAGGCACTTCAGAGAAATAATAACCCTGATGATCTTAATAAATATGTAAGATTTCCTAGCCAATGAGAATAACTAATTAAATTCCTTTAAAGTATGAAAATTTATTCTTTGGAAAACCTGATGACTGACTTATTCTCTCTCTCTCTCTCTCTCTCTCTCTCTCTCTCTCTCTCTCTCTCTCTCTCTCTCTCTCTCACACACACACACACACACACATGCAGGATGTAAAAACACGGTAGGCAGTGTAAAGGGAAATACTTTGCTGTCTCAGTCTTACCCAAGGCTAACTGAGGCCAGAACGTGATTCTTTTCATTAGTGGGTAGGTGACGACAAGAAGTAAGGATGCTGCTCCCATGGCTATACTGGAAACAGAAGCAATGGGATTAAAGACATCACTAGAAATCATTACAAGTTATAGTAACACTAATTGCAACGTGTTTTTATCCTAAGTAATATTTTTGTGAAATTCTTAGCGAGAGTTTGACTTTACCTATTGTAGAAGATGATCAGAAAAAGGCTTTTTTGTTGTTGTTGTTTTGTTTTTTGGTTTTTCGAGAAAGGGTTTCTCTGTATTGCTCAGAAAAGTATTTTAAATATCACAAAACAATAGCTACCCCACACGGCACTTTCATGGATTAGGTTCTATTGTAAGTGCTTCAATTCTCTCCATTCATTCTATGAACTGTGTCTCTTTAGACTGACAAGAATGGGCCCATGGGCTGGAGAGATGGCTCAGAGTTAAGAACATGGGCTGCTCTTCCAGAGGACCTGAGTTCAATTCCCAGAAACTAAATGGTGGTTCACAGATATCTATAATGAGATCTAGCGCCCTCTTCTGGTGGGAAAGCATGGATGCAGATAACTATATACATAATAAATCAAATCTTTAAAAAAAAAAAAAAAAAAAAAAAAAAAATGGGCCCTCACAAGTTTCTCTTCTGTCATTTATATTAGTTACAGACTCTGAGACACACACAGCTCCTCTTGGTGTTAACTGAGTCTACCCACTTCTGCTTCCGAGAGTAAAATTACACACACCTATGGCTGTCTACACACTTGAGAACCTGGGGGAGGTCCCATTAGACTGTTAGAGCAAACACTAAAGGTGTCTCAATAAGCTGGTCTGCTCATGTGTCTGCTGAAGCATCCCTGAATCTTACAGTATGGTGAGTTACTTCACACTTCCTACCTAGCCCATGGCTGCTTCACAAGAATCAACAAACAGATTAGTAATAAAGAGAGATGATTCTACTTTATTTCCACATTTTCCATTTCAGAGGAGATATTTTTACACAACTGTGCAACCACAGCTAATGTACCTGTAGTAGTTCAAGCACAGGAGAACTCCCAGTGCCAAGGTCAGCTGTCCCCCAAGGAAGATGAAGGACTGGAAGGTTGAAATGTCTCCGGCGGCGATTGGGCGATTTGCTGTTCTCATAACCTCACATAGGAAAATCGACAGAAACCTTCAGTTCATGCACCAAGTCAACTGTTCATTTAAACATTGACTAACAGATGGGCTATCGAGATGGTTCGGGGGCCGGGCACCTACCTCCAAGCCTAACAGCTGAAGGTAGGGCCACAGAACCCACATGGCAGAAGGTGAGAAACTGCCCTTCTAAGTTTTACCTACACTCACACGCAGTGTTTCCTTAAACCCATATATGATCACACAAATAAATAAATGCTACTTTAAAATACATAATTAACCTTTCCCACCTGGTCCAGCAGCTGTTTAGTCCCAAGTAAATACACAGTGGCTTATATTAATTATAAACTGGCTGAGGGCTCAGGTTTCTTACTGGCTAGCTCTCTCTTAATTATTAACAAATAACTAGTAATCTATGTATTTCTACATGGCCTTATCTTACCAGAGAAGGCTCCAGCATGTTACTCCTTCAGGGGCTATATGGAATCTCCCTTGTGACCTCTCTCTGCATCCTCTCCCCAAAATTCTCATCTTGTAGTCCTACCTATACTTCTTGTCTGGCTACTGGCCAATCAGTGTTTTATTCATCAACCAATAAGAGAAACATATACAGAAGGATATCCACCATCAATAGATGACATATTAAATCCCCAGGCATCGAACATCATCTCAATGGCAGTGAAATACTTGTGCTTTGCTGAACATCAATACACAACCCAGACTCTTAGAGAAAATGGAAAAGGTTGGCTGGCTTAATTATTTCTTAACAATGCTTTTTCTCTGAGATGACTGCATTTAAGTAATGGAGCTGGAGAGATGGCTTAGCAGTTAAGAGCACTGGCTGCTCTTCCAGAAGACCCAGATTCAATCACCAGCACCCACATGGCAGCTTATAACTGCTTCTTAAATCTCAGGGAATCTGGCACCTTCACACAGACATATATGCAGACAAAACACGAATGAGTATTTTAAATGAGTATTTTAAAAACAATATGGAAATCCCATATACCCTTATGGTCTCTTTTATTAATAACACCCTGGGAAACTATACAGAGCCAGAATGTTGACATCAGTGGAGACAAAACCTATTAAGATTCCTACCACAAGGATCTCCATGTTCCCTGTGAAGAGTCGTGTGGTTCCCCCCTCCACAATCACTCCTGATGCTAGCAACTGGCCTACTGAGAAGCACATAGCATGACCCTTTCAGGTTTTCTTTTCTCTTGACATAGCCTCTGAAAGGCACCCACACTGTTTCCTAGATTATTTTGTTGCTGTTGTTTTCCGGTGCATAGATGTATTATGCATTGTTTACGCACACAAATGACAACTGGCTTGTTCCAGTTTGGAGCTATTATAAGTAAAGCCACTACATTCATATGCAAAATGTCATGTTATCATAAGCTTTTATTTCTATGGGATGAATGCACAGGAGTAAAACCCTCTGCAGTAAACAAGCCAGGTTCCCAGTCTGAAGCACGGCTGTGTCCCTGAACCCTGCCCACCGACAATATATGTGCTGTTCTCAGCAGCATTTAATTTACTGCTGCCATGGTCTTTCATTTCAGCCATCCTGACCGGTTTGTAGTGATTCTTTATTGCAGATGAAGTTTGCATTTTCATCAAAGCTAATGGTGTTAAAATAACAATTTTTACGTGTTACTTGCAATCTTGGCATGTTTTTGTTGAGATAGCTCTATTCATGTATTAATCAGATTTTTATTTAGTATTTGGTTCTGAGAATTTTTTTACACTGGTATCTTTGTAGGTATGTGATTTCAAAATATCCACCAGTGCATACCTTTAATCCTCTTAAAGAGGTCCCCAACATGTCTACACTGATTCTGACGAAATCCAATATAGCAATATTCCTTTTTGTGAATTATATTTTCAGCATTTCTCTTCAATTGCATTCAAGAGTTGCAGACTCTCTTTAGTTCACAGACTCTGATTATGATACATCTAAACTGTGCATTTGCTTACCATGATTATAGCCATTTACCTTTCTGAAAATGTCCTTATACAATGTACATTTCTGCTTTTTGCCAAATTTCACATTCAGGTGTATTTTTCAGTATTTTTTACTTGAAACCTAAACTTTTTTGTGTCCTAAGAGTCTAATCTCATTTACTTTTATTTTATGTGTATGTGTTTTGCTTGTACATATGTATGGATCACGTATGTACCTGGTGCTTAGAGAGGACTGGAAAGGGCATCAGATCCTCCAGAACTGGAGTCACAGATGGCCATGAAGTGTTGTGTGGGCACTGGGAATTGAACTTGGGTCCTTTGGAAGAGCAACCAGTGCTCTTAACCACTGAGTCATCTCTTCAGTCCCTCTAATCTCATTTTAATCTTGTTTTAGTTGGGATTTTGACATCACTTTCACCAAGGGAAGGGACTGTGGATGCTGCTTAGTTATTTGCAGATAGAATTAGAAGCTCACACTTACTCCCTGACCTCTGCTGGCCCCTGAGAAGTAGGCTTTTGTGGGTGCTTGGGTTTAGTCTGTTCCCTCCTGTGCTCCCAGCTTGCTGGCCTCTTCATTTCCAAGACTGAGATGTGAGGCAAAGGTATAGCACACTAATTAGCATGCTTTTCTGGGGGCTCCTGAGGCTCCGCCACCTGTTCCTCTACAGTCCCTGAGTTGTTTTCCATGTAATAGCTAGAGGTTTGGTTGTGCTTAGTGGGAACAAGGGCAGTATGTCTGTCCACCTCTGGGAGCAGAGTCAGACTATGTAAGTAGTTAGAGCATGGGACTTCCACGTGCTTTCTAAGGGAGACAAAGCAGCTCAGTCAGATACTGTAATTTTTCATTTCTTCTTCAAATTCCGTACTCCCCAACAGCTTTAGCTTAGTTTTGAAGGTAACTAAGAACAAAATCCTTTTTGAATATTTATTCTCAAATGTTCTCTTTTATAAACAAGCCCATCCTCCTCACACACGTGATAATGGATAGCACTGTTTTCATCTTCCCTAAGCCTTAATTAAAAAAAGATACTGAACTACTTTAAACACAAGCCTGAAGCCTCATTTATAAAACATGCAGAATGAAAAATGATCCATGAAAAGTGAAATTCATATCAGGTTTGCATTTGCTGGCCAATCAAGGGCCTCAGCTTGTCTGTATAGCATGGAGGTGCTTCATCACATGGCTTCTGCTCCTCTATCCCATTCTGTTCTCCAGAAACACACACACACAAAACACACACAGGGTGGGGAGGTGGAGTGGGGGTAGGATATAGAGATAAGAACAACTGTCCAGGACAACACACTTCTATCTCACTAAGAACACAAAAGGAAACTTGGAAGAAGTATATTTTAGTAGAAGAGCTCTTGTGATAACACTTCGATGGTGCACAATTTAAAGCTTATACATGTAAGAGCTGTGGGCTGTGGCGAGTGTGGTAAGTGCAGCTTCAGAGACTACTGAGGGCAGGGGCTTTGGTGGAGCCAATGCTAACACCTGACCTAGTTCATTTAAACTAAGACCTGCTTTACAGAAGAACGTCTCAGAGGAAGGGATGGCATGGGAAGGTTCAGGGTCAATTTCTCGTTGTTGCTTCCACCTTTAATTTCTTTACTCTTGGCTCCTACACTTGACATTACCTGTAAGACTCCAGTATATATCAGCCCTGCAGCCACTCTTCTGCTGGAAGGGAAGGGAACTGCACTTTGCAACAGCAGCTAGTTAGTCAACTGATACTTTTCATGTGGATTTCAGTGGTATCGTGTAATGTCATCACAGTGTTCTGCAGAAAAGAGAAAAGCCTCTGTTCCTTCCCAGAGTGAAGCTACCTTTTTATCGAAGTCACGGTCCCACATGTCATTAATAGTGCAGCCCGCTCCACGCATCAGAATAGCTCCAGTGCCAAAAAGTGACAACATGTACCAGTCAGGAAAACAGCCTGGTTCAGCGGCCAAACCAATGCTCCAGGTGCATGGCAAGTACAGCAGCCAGGTTCCTAAACAAAACCAAAACTACATGTGAAAAGAGAAAGGGACACATTTAAGTCAGACAATTGCTTCATTTACGTAAGAACTGTCCTGGCTATTGCTGCTGTAATGAACACCATGACCAAATGCAACCTGGGGAGGGGTTTATTTGGTGTGGCCATTCCCACCACAGTCCATCATTAAAGGCAGTCAGGGCAGGAACTTAAGGCAGGAAGCTGGGAGCAGGACTAATGCTTACTGGCTTGCTCAGCCTGTTTTCTTCTACTACCCAGGACCATCTGATCAGGGTGGCAATGTCCCCAGAGGGCTAGGCCTTCCCACATCATAAATCAAGAAAATGTCCCAGGCAATCAGTAGACACATTTTCTCAGTTGAGGCTGTCTCTTCCCAGATAAGTCTAGCCTGTGTCAAGTTGATAAAATCAATGAACACCCGCCCCCCCTCCAAGGACACAGTACAATGGTCACACCCTAAGAAATCATAATCAAAGTAAACCACCTGACAGGCCAATGCCTGGAATTCTGGGAGGACCAAGAATTCAAAGTAATGGGGTGTGGTGGCATATGCCTTTTATTATCAGAATTTCCTTAATCCAAGAGGCAGGCAGATCGCTTGGCCATATAGCAGATTCAAGGCCAGCTGGGTCTACATAGTGAGACCTTGTCTCAAGGGTTCAAGACTGGTATGATCTACATAGCAAGACCCCGTCTACAACAAAACAGCAATTTATCCCTAACAAAACCTGAAATCACTGGAAAAATAAGCCAGGAATGGTGGTATACATCTATACTCTCTGCACTTGAGAGGCAAAGGCAAAAGGTCAAGTTGAAGGCCAGCCTGGTCTACATATCAAGTCCTAGGCTAACCAGGGCTACATAGTGAGACACTGTTACAAAAGCAAAATAAAGCCAACAAACCAACAACAAACTAAACCCCACCAAATTAAGGGAAAATAAACCTGTAACTCAAATTGCAATAAGTATTTACCCGAACACATAAAAAGCCCATAAAAAAAAACAGAGAAGGAAAAGATCAGTAGCACAGTTAAGAATAGATAAAAGGGGCTGGAGAGGTGGCTCGGCATTAAGAACACACCTATACAACAGTCAGTAAAATCTTCCTTTACTGTCGCCAGTACAGTTCCCTGGGATGGTCTTAGGGGAAGGGCTACTGCATTGCAGCTTTCTGTTCTGTGCTGAGTATCTTCAAGCCACATGTATAAGGGGGGCTAGATTTTAATGCTTAACCAATAAACTAGATGGAAGTATGTTATACCGATGAGACACTTTACAGATGACCCTTGATATTCTATTTCTAAAACGGAAGTCTTTCAACTAACCTTTGAATATCTTACAGATTTGTTTTGCTTGATACAGGTCTTACTGTATAGTCCAGGATGGCCTTGAATGCTAAAGAGATCTTCCTGCTCCAGCATCCTTGGTGCTGGGATCGTGACTGCTTTGATAGAAGTTTTACTTCCTGATTTAGGAATGGGAGAGGTGAAGGGCAAGTTAAGGTGACACACACCTCTACCCTAACGCTTAGGAGGTGGAGGTAGTCTGCATTCAAGACCAGCCTAAACTCACGAGCTGGGGATGTGGAGCTCAGTGCTAGTATTTGCCTGGCATGTGCAGGGCTCTGGATTTGAGCTTACACAAAATGGTCAAAGTCCCTAAAATGTTTAAGGTGCCTACAGAGCAGAAAAGCAAAAGAAGCAACACTTCTCAAATACAATTCCTGAGAAGTGGCCAGCTCAGGGCCCGAATCCTGGTTGCCCTGGGCAGAAACACATTACTGGATGTTCACAAAGTACTGGCCAGCAGTCTAGCTACTCGGTATGTATAAATTCATCCAATCCTTACAGATGAAGGAACACAAAGCCAGGAATGTAAAACAACTGCTCCTGTTTGCAGGGATGGAGCTCACACAGGACAGAGGTGGAGCTGAGGCCAAAAGAGAAAATACTCGTCACTATTTCTTGGTGCACCTAGAAATGAAGGCTACACAACACACAGTGTAACAGGAACTTCCTTGGTCATGGTCTATACTGATTATGAGCTCACTTACTGATAGGAGGAACCTGTAGTGCTCCCTAAAGATGAGGCAGCTCCTGCAGACTGAAAAGTCAGGAGCCAACCACTTGTAAGGGGGCAGACACCAGACACTAAAGTATCTGAAGGCTTAAGTCTCAATTTCATCTGAAAACAAGGACAAAGAGCATCGATTTCACTGTGTTTTAATGAGATGACAATATTAGGGCTGATGGTTATGGAAACAGAACTTGGGGCTAACATGTGCTACAAGTACTCTACCAGTCTACAACTAGAATGGACTAATCAGCCTATATTAAGATATATAACATACATAAGCACATGCACAGTTTTCTCTAATTTCTAACTCCTGACATAATATTATTAATATTCTTGAGCCCCTGTCATATGAAGGCAGCTGATCACAGCAGAGAATATGTGTTTATGAATTCATGTATACAGCGGTTCTGAGTCAAGAGCTTTAACAGAATGCTTTTAGGTCCCAAAATAAGGCAGCGATTCTCTTATTTAACTGACTTTAACTGTGGTGGTCTGAAGAAGAATGTTCCCTACAGGCCCTGGCATTTAACAAGTGGCCTCAGTGGGTGATGCTGTTTGGGAGGCCTAGTAGGTGTGACCTTAGAGGACAAAGTGTATCACTGGAGTTTAAACATTGCCGTTCTCTGTTCCCTGCTTGTGGTTTGAGATGTGAGCTCTCAGCTTCTGTCCAGCCAGCTTGCTGCCATGCTCCTCAGCACGATGGACTTTATCCCTCTGGAACTGTCAGCCCAAGTCAACTCTTCCTTCTGCAAGTTGCCTTGGTCATGGTGTCTTACCACAGCAATAGAAATGTAGAGGGCAGGCTTTATCCAAAACTATATTGGTTAAGATGGAATCCTGACCCAGCAGTCTGGCTGAACCTTAAGTCATACCTAAATCTCAATGCACACGAGCATTCTACTTCTTCTGTCCCTACTGATTCCCAGGAGCATTTCTTTCTGTCTTTCTTGTGACACCTTCGTTCCTTATGGTTATTCTGTGAAGAAAGGTGGGCAGAGGTAGTGAGAAGCCAAGCAGGCTTCAGACAGAAATGTTTATTATGAAAGGGAAAAACTCTCTGGAAGATGGAGGAAAATGGTCAAATTCTGAAAGGGATGGGCAGAACAAAATGCAAGTATAGACTAAGCCTATGATTCTCTAACTATATATTTTCAAGACAACAATTTGGTGGAAAGAGTGCCACTTGTTGATTTCCTGAAATAATACAGGCTGATTGGTGATGGTGGCTCAGTGGTATTGCACTTGCCTAGCTAGCATAAGGGAAGCCTTGAGTTCTGGAAAACAACAGAACTTCTCAAAACTTCTCAAAAACAATGAAACCTGACACTGGTCTATGAAAGTAATCAAATACAATACCAATACAGTACAACAATAACTGTCTCACTGTCTTACAAGAGAATTATAAACATTAAACCAGAAATTCTACTGCCATTACTGCTCCTGACACACAGCAGGGGCCCAAGAGCATTTGTTGAGTGAATTCTATCCTGTAATTGTCTTATTTAGCATCAAAACATACAAGCCTCCATCCTAAGATACTTAACACATACAATTATAAAGATAATTTTCTCTAGTCCCCACTTCTGAATAGTGACTAATGCTAATGAAGGCATTAACAGTGCCCTTATATGCAGGCAGATTCAAAGTATTTATTGTGGTGCAGGTGGATGATATGGATAACTTTATGAAGCCAACATTAGCACTGCCCTTCTATAGATAAAGAAATGAAGGTTTCATTTAGCCAGTCCCTCCATTAAATGTAGTAGAAGGTTCAAATCCACCAGGTTGCCTCTAAACTTGGCTCATGATTGTTTTGTAGAGTCCTGTTACATTGTAGAATGTACAGCCACTAGAATAATGATGTTTAATTGTAGAAGCAGAAACAACGCCAGCTGTTGATCTGTTCTATACACCTGTTAAGTCTATCCTGTAGCTTTGTCACCCATAATCTAAGAACAGAATTATAAGGTGTTTGTGTAAACCCTGAATTACACAACACTCTAATAACGGCGGGCCTACCTCTTGATTTTATAGGCTTTTACTTTAATCTCTGCTTGCTAAAATTCAGCGCTTGAGTACCAAGCACACACATCTAGAACATCACAAGTCAGGCCTTGCTGGGTGTGGTGCCGCTCCCACCTCTGTTGTTGCTTGGAAGGCAGAAGCAAGCTCTGGAGTTTGAGGCCAGCCAGGAGTACAGACCAAGCCCTGGTCTCAAAGTAAAACAAAACAAGGTATGGTGGTGCATGCCTGTACTCCAAGCAACTGGGAGTTGGAGGCAGGGGGACATAGTTCAAGGCTGGCCTCAGATACATAACGGGACCCTGTCTAAAACCAAGACCCAGATAGGGACACTTTGGGAGTTCTGGGTAGGAAAAGGTAGAATAACAATTTACACACTTGGATGTACTTCTATACACTGAAACTGTACATATTGGCATCTAAATTAGCTAGAATTCAGCTGTTACCTCTTCATTACTCACTTTCTTCTGACCAGCTTGTCTCCACTGTTTAGTGTTGCAAGTCAGGCTCTTAATATACTACATTGTTTTTTGTTCGTTTTTTTCATACTTTCCTAGGTCATCAATTATGTTTTCCAACCAGAAACAAATTCTTTGAAAACTGGTAGTTTCCCTAGCTTTCTGACACTAATGCTGAGCAAATCCATTTAGTACCGCTGGACTGTGATTTAGGAACTCCACGCTTATGGAGCGTATGCTGTACCACAGCTGTCAACAGTGCATAAGTTAGTAACAGCAGGGAGTCTTAGAGAGAGGTGACTGTGCTAGTTTGACGTTGAAGGCAATCAGGAAAAGCGCTTACTGGCTGCGTCAAATGTATTAAATCTTTGTAACTCACGATGCAGAAAGAAAGCGCGGTACTAACACTAGGTCCTCCACCTCCTCTACCGAGGAGCTTTGATTTCTTCAATAATCTTACTTTGTGCCTCTTGGGTCTTAAAGGATTGGAGGCAGAATCGAAAACTAATGATTGCAGACATGCTTCAAAACTGCGAATCACCAAGCAAAGGTGCGCTCGCTGGATGGGATACAGGTTTATTGCCATCGCTGTCGGCCCGGGTCTCAGGACTCGGAGCGTGGGACAACCTGCACTCTCTGGCTCTGAAGTCCCGGCGACCGGCCAGGGCCACAGCCCGCCTGCAGCGGAGCCGGGGCGTGCAGGGCGGACGGCTCGCCCGCCCGCCCGCCCGCCTCACTCACCGATGGGCTTATCCAGGCGCATGAGGCGCAGGTAGGGCTGCAGGGGGCGCGGCGCCGAGTTCACCACGGCCGCGGCCGACAGGCTGAGCGCGCGCCTGCGCGGCGCCCCCGGGACGGGAGCCCGCCAGTCCAGCGCGCCCGACGACCCCGCCGTGCGCGCCAGGGCCAGCGAGGGCCAGACCCCGCGCCGACCTTGCCGCCACGCCGGCGGAACGGCCCGCAGGACCCGCGATAGCCCTCCGCCCCGCAAGCCCAGCATGGCGCCGAGGCTGGACGCCGCTCGATGACGTCACAGGGCGACCGGCCGCGGGCGGGCATGCGCAGTGGAGTCCGAAGGCCGCATGTAACAGGGTGTGTGTGTGTGTGTGTGTGTGTGTGTGTGTGTGTGTGTGTGTGTGTGTGTGTGTGTTTTATGCTGCCTGCATGTATGTGCATTCCGTGCATGTGTTTTGTGTGTGTCAGGTTGCCTGAGTGCCTACTGCCCACACAGGTCAGAAGAGGGTGTCAGATCCCCTGAAACTGTATGGGTGCTGGGAATCGAACCTGGGCCCTCTTCACCCCTGATCCATCTCTCTGGCTCCAAATAAACTCAAAAGGACAGTATTTATTACATGGAATAGTTCTACACAAAAAGAAAAGCAAAAGTCTGGAAGTGTTAAATACATCCAGATGTTCACCTAAAATTAAAAGGAAACCAAGAAGCCAAATTCAATCAGATAAACTCGGATTTTTTTTTTTTTTAAGGGAAGTTATTTACTCCAAAGACAATCTACATTTGACTGTTGGATTCAAGAACTTCATGGCACCCTTACTTATAGCTAGCCCTTGTATATTGCTATGTACCAGACACCTATTCTGTTACCCCACTTAACCCCTCACTGACTGGCTCTGGGTAAGTTGCTCATCTGCATTTTAGCATTTTGAGATGGTGGAGAGACCTTTTAGGAGTCTTAAGTCCTGTGTGGTGAATTCTGTGATACCTGAGTAACAATAGGTTGGTGGCCTGAAGCTTGAAGAGAAATACAGCAGGAGAAGCACTGGCCTTTCTTTTGCAAGAAAGAGAGCCAGACTGCACTCTGGGGAGCATTGCTGGTCCTTTGACCTGTAAGCTCCATCTAAAGATGTAAAACAATGCGGTGTCAGTCAATCCCAGTTGAACTCTGAATTCTCTACAAGTTTTCCGCCTTTGACGCTTTCCCAAAATGTTGCCAAAATAAATATTTGCTTGCTTCCTTCCATTTGTTTTTTGGTTTTTGTTTTGTTTTGTTTCTTTTGTTGTTTTTTTGTTTTGTTTTGTTTTGTTTTGTTTTTGAGACAGGGTTTCTCTGTTTAGGCTGCCCCTCTGTGGAACAGGCTGGCCTCAAACTCACAGAGATCTGCCTGCTTCCACCTTCCTGAGTTCTGGGATTGAAAGTGTGCACCATCACAGCCCACTGTTTATTCTTGAACGCCATTTTAGGTAGCAGAGGTACCCATCATGCCAAACACAAGGCACTTTTACACTTGCATACTGCTTCTGTGTGCCTGGAGTTCCCACCACAATATTTAAAATTCAGAAAACATTGTGAATGCTTTCTTTTTCATTTCACAGGGGAAAGATGTTAATGCTATTTTTATTTTAATAATAATTGTTTTTAAAAAGAAAAGTAAAAATGGTTTCAGCCTCAAAACTCATATGATTTGCCAAGTTTCATCCCTGGGCTGGACATTCATATTTTTGTGGAGATATTGTGAGTCACAAGGATGAAATAAATGATGAAAGTCATTAGAACAATAAGATATGGCACAGATTAAAAGTCAATAGGTATAGGAGCTTAAAAAGTCACACTAACGGGGCTGGAGAGATGGCTCAGCAGTTAGAGCTCTGGCTGTTCTTCCAAAAGACCTATGTTCAGTTCCCAGCACCCACATGGCAGCTCTCTGTGGAGTCTGTTCTCTCCTTTGTGCGTGTCTAGGGATAGAACTAGGGTTGTCTGTATTTTAAGTTTTAAGCTATTTTATGTCATTAGGGAGATATTTGTGATGGTGCGCTGGTCACAGGAAATGCAAAGATGATGTTTGTGAGCATCAAGTGAGATTCGATGGATGCAGCTGAAATAGCTTGTGTCACAGTGGGGGCTCTGTGCAAAGACTAAAACGATGTAAGTGACTCAAATGATAAAGGGGTGTTTAGCTTAAATGTCTGACTGGGTCTTCACAAACATGAACATTTATCACCTAGAAGGGAGAATTAGGCTAGAGCAGCCAGAGGAAAGGCACACAAAAACATGGGAAGGCACAAGTACATGTCTGCATTGACTTCCCACGTGTGTGCCTGGAGGACAGGACTAATAGAGGAAGTGACTAGGGCTCAGGCTGACAAAAAGGACCTTATGGGCCTGTAAGAAGGGGAAAGCATTTAAGTATCTCCAGCAAGGTTGGAGAGTGAGTGGTTCAGGGGTTAAGAGCACTTACTGTCCCCAGCACACATGTCAGATGGCTCGCAGTCACATGTAACTCCAGGGGGATGTGATGCTCCTGTCCTCTGAGGGTACCTGCACACGTGCACACCTTCCCTCCCCCACACGATTAAAAATAATAGTAATAAATACATCTTACAAGAGTTTGAGGCAAAGTCAGGGTGAATGAACAACTTAAATGATGCTATACTCATACAAGTGAAAAATTAGGCATTGTGTTTATTTGATGGAAGAGAAACAAGGAAAATAAATAGATAAGACTTTATGACTGAAGTAGGAAATTATGTTTATGCCTGACGGTCCTTTTCTTCAGTCAAGAACTTCAATGTTGGTGAAGATGAACTAATGCAGGTAGGGGGTATAAGAAAGTAGTGAAGGAAAATGCTTCCTCCCTTCCTTTCTTCCTTCCTTCCTTTCTTCCTTCATCCATTCATTCACTGTGCAGTGCTGAAGATCAAACCCAGGGCCTTTTTCTGTTCTGGGCTAGCATTTTTCCAGTAAGCCACAGCTTTAATCCATCAAAACCAGACTTTCAAATCTAATAACCTGTAAGCGTTAGCTTTCTTAGAAGAATAACCATGCAAATTAAGGCTATAAAATTAGTTTATTTCAAATGTGGAAATATAAAAACTGCTTGCATAAAAATTTGAGCGTATTGAGGCATCCCTTAAAGGTCTAATGTACTCAAATTCAATTGAGATAATATTCATAGCAGACACAAAAATATAGAATCATAATCCTTAAGAGGATTAAAATCCTTGGGGGGGGGAATAGTTACATTTTGTTACTTGACCAAAGCACAGGACTATAATGTCCAGTGTTGTGGACTCCACCAAACCTCTCTACCCCAGACAAAGATGGTCTGATGACAATTAGTGGCAGCCAATGGCCATGGGTGGTGACTGGGAAAATGACCATAGACCTATTCCTGGCCAGTAGGACTTGAGACTTGAAGAGAGGCTTGCAGGGAAAATGTCCAGGAAAGATGTCTTCGGGTCTCTGAAGGAATCACTCATCCTCTCCCATGGGTTGCTTTGAGATCTCAGTGACTCTGTAGGTCAGTCACAGCCGTCATGTGACCAGAGCCAGTGCTACAGACTTCAGGAGAAAGAAGCCCCCCCCCCACTGTGATTGAACCCTGCCTCACTCACTTGGGCAGCTTCTCATGTGGGACATAAATATCCTCGTTTAGAGGTCTCATTACTCACAGGCCAAAGCTCCCCAAGCCAGGCAAGAACTAATGGTATAGAAAAAGTAAACACTACAATGGCTTGATGTGTCAGGTGTTTCCTGAAACTTCTCAGTCAACCGACCGTCCTTTACAGTCATTTCCAAACCTTGTGCCATACCTTCCCTCTCAGTTGTTGTCACTGTTGTTTGTTTGTTTGTTTGTTTGTTCTTAATCCAACCCCACCCAACCATCTGTCCTTCCACAGATGGTTTCTGAAGAACAAAGGGACGAGGCTTGGGGTCCGCTCTCTTCATTTTAGTTCTCTGAGATGTGAGCAGCTGAATGTCTTTTACAGCCAGTGTGAACTTGTGGCAGTGAGCTACAGAGAGGGCCCTGGAGGACAGAATTGACAATCTGCTAACAATAATAATAATAGTAGTAGTAATAATAATACTAACAAAGGTTTAAAAAATCATGACACATCCTTCACTTATTTGCCTCTTGGTCATATCAGAGGCATTCATATACATTTTTGATAACCCCCCCAAATAGTGCATGCAAAATGCTAAGCATCATTTGGCACACAGTGCCATTAACTGTCATCACACTTGATCCAGCACTGAAGCTTGCCCTAGACCTCCCAAGGCTCTTGAGCTTCACTCTTACGAATAACACCCCTGATCCCTTTCGTCTCAGGGCTATTGTATGAATTTTATTTTCATAAACAAGCAGCAATTTTGGCATTTCTTATGACAAAAAATCCATAGGAAAAGGCAGGCATGCCTAGTGAGCTTCCTGGCCGTAGAGGTTTCTCTGTTAAAGCTGGCAGGGTCTGGTCATCCACCATCTTCAGGGTTTCACCGTTGAGTTGGACAGATCTACAGAAAGAAAAGATGTGCTTGAGTTAGGCAGGGTGTGCATGCACTAAAAAAAGTTGTGAAACCATTTTAAACCAAGGAGGACTTTTGTGGCAGCTTTAGCTATATAATTTGTATTTCAACACTAGGTGAGATTAGGTGTTTGATCAAGACACATGTAAAACTGCAGTGGGAGAGAAAGTTAACAGTGGACCAGAGACCATCTGGCTTGGCTAAGTCTGCAGTATTGCTATCTGGTCTTTTACAGAAACATGCACAAACTATGCACATATTTTATCTTTTTCTTCCAAGACAGTGTCACATACTGTAGCTCAGGCTGAACTTACTATGCAACCCTGACTGGCCTCACACTCCTAGGGAATGTCCTACCTCCACTACACCTAGGTTCTTTCTTTTTCGTAAATGATTTTTGTTGTTTTTAAAAACTGCCAGAATTGATGATGGTTATTTTTGTACCATACATGGAACACATGTGACACACATGTGTAACATGCATCACTATTCCTTATACCATAAGCACTATGAAGATGTTAGTTATTACTGTTTTTCATACAAACAAACATTACAGGCCAGGCTGCAGTGTTAGCACTCAGGACATGGAGTCAGAGTTCAGAGTCAGCTTTGACTACACAGCATATTCAAAGCCACAGAAGAGCCTGTCTCAAAAGCTGAAAACATAACAAGACCTATCAAAAGTAATCAATTACATCATCTTACTTTTAATACCTCAACATAGTCATTCCATCTTTCTATGCATATAAATACATTTTACTTTATCTAACTAAAATGGGTATAACTGTATATATTTTCTTTCTTTTTTAAAAAAGATTTATTTATTTTATATATATGAGTACTGTGTCTGCATGCCAGAAGGCATTGGCTCCCATTATAGATGGTTGTGAGACACCATTGGGTTGCTAGGAATTGAACTCAAGACCTCTGGAAGACCAGCCAGTGCTCTTACCCACTAATCCATCTCTCCAGCCATGTATATATTTTCTTAAAACTTTTCTATTTAATACATCCTCATGTTTGTTCATATCACAGAGTATTCATCCACTATATCATTTTAATTAACACACAAGATTCTATGATATGAATTCCTTAGTACATTTACTTAATCCTCTACTTTTAGATATTTTGTTTCCAGGTGGCATTATCCTGTGTTTTTCTATTTTTTGACAGGTTCTTTCTTTGTAGCTCTGGCTGTCCTGGAACTCACTATGTAGACCAGGCTGGCCCCTAACCTGTGAACCATCCCTGTGTTTCTGCCTCCCAAGTGCTGGCATTATAGGTATGCACCGTCATGCATGGCTTGTACTGTTACTGTTTTAATTTTTTTTCTACCTCTTTTCTTTTCTAAGACTGAATCTTACTATGTAGCTCTGGCTGTCCTGGAACTCACTCTGTAGACCACTAGTCTGGCTTTGAACTCACAGTGTTCCACTTGGGTGCTGGAATTAAAGGTGTGCTTGACCATGTCCTGCTTCGCCTCCCATTCTTACCAGGATCAGTGGGTAGAAACTGGGTCCCACATAACCTTTGTTAAATGTTCAGCACCTAGCCCCACAACTCAAGACATACTAACAGCATGCCATAGTGTGCCAGGGACTACCACCAAGTCTGTTCTGGGGTGGATTCAGTCCACTAGCTTTGGTTTTTACGCTTATACATCACATCAAATTTATATGATGAAGGGCAGGAAATATGCCCCATCTTCAGGAAACCACAACCAAAAATAGGTCTTGAAAAATATCTCTGAATTGAGAGTGCTTAGCATGAAATGAAGGACCATTTGAGGATGCCTACCAATGCCAGTCAGTGGTGGCACATGCCTTTAGTCCCAGCACTGGGGAAGCAGGGGTAGATGGGTCTTTGTGAGTTTGAGACCAGCCTGGTCTACGGAGAAAATGCCTACTGAAGTCCTAGGATCCAGTCAGTGCTTTGCTACCCGACTTGAAGGTAAATCTGGTTACTGTGGATGAACTGTGCTGTGTGAGACAGGAACATGGCAAGGTCCACCCACTCAGGCTGCAGAGTTCAATCAGCTGCCCATACAGATGTGCTCTAAGGATGGGTTCACCTACTCAGGCTGCAGAATTCAATCAGCTGCCCATACAGATGTGCTCTAAGGATGTGTGTTTAGTGATTCAGCAGTGTGTTGTGTGTGTGTGTGTGGGGGGGAATCTGAGGGAAGTAACTTGTTCCTTGGTTCAGAAGCAGGAGGATAGGAAATATCACCTGTTGGACCACTGTAGCACTGACCACGCCCATTGGGGGGTGGAGCTATGGGCGGAGGTGACCTGAGGAAGGAGGTTGGAGGGGGCCAGGAAGGCGCTCTCTTTCTGGCGTGACTCGGACAGGAGAGGATCGGGTTGAATTTCCTGGTGTTCATCTGTCTAGGTTGTAAGTTATTTCTCCCTGAATAAACATCTATTCGGCTTATTTGTTTATCCTGATCCTTATTTACCGCAATAGACCACAGGTGAGATAAAGGTTCAAGGAATTAGTAAGCTGCAGGTTTGGCAGAATCAGGGACCCTTGGAAAAATTCACCTGAGATAAATACTGATTTCACTCAAAATATTTTCACTCAAGGCTGATGCATTGGCTCAGCAGGCCAAGATACTTGCTGCCAAGCCTGACGGGCAAAAATCTGACGTACACGGTGGGAGCACAGAACTGTCCTGTCTGTGCCTGCTACCCTGTCAGCTCTGCACCCAGGGATGCACACATAAATGCATTTAGAAACAATTCAAATAATTTACTTAGAATCTCATTTCCAGCCATTGTTCTTACTCTATTCCTTCCCACCGCAAAACCCACGTCAGTGATGCAGGAGAATCCCACCCAGATGTGTGTGGTGTTTTATTCCACCGACATGCCCTTGCTAGATCAGATGGGTGGTTCATGCCATTGGCAATTAAAGTGTCTTTTCAGAACAAATACTCTAAATGTGGATGTACTCTGCACTTGATAAACGCCAGCCACAAACCCTTTTTCTATAATGGTGTCCTGCCTACAAGATATGCCAGGGCAACACGACAACACAAAGCGTGTGGCAATAACCAACTGATAACTGATTTGACTTAGCCTGCACCATGAGATGGAACCCATATCAGACACTGCTTGGGTGATCAAGAACCTGAGACTTGATAGCTCAGGGTCCTAGAAAAAAAAATAGTGCTGATCTTAAAAACAGCAGCAGCAACAACAACAAAAACCAAAAGCCAAAAACCAACTAACCAACCAACCAACCAAACAAACAAAAAACTGTGGTGATAAAACAACTAATGATATTCTGTACACTCATTGATCGGTGCCATGCTCAGCCATCATCAGAGAAGCTTCCTCCTGCATGGGAACACACATTACACAAAGATATGTGTCTATCAAATCCCTCCCCTCAGAGCTCAAGGAACCCCTCAGAAAAGCAAAGAGTGGAAGAGCCAGAGGAAGACCAAGAAAGCAAGACCCTCTAAATCAGCGTAAGCAAAGCTCACATGAACTCAAAGACTGCGGCAGCATGCACAGGACTGCACTGGGCTGCATAGGGCTGCACAGGACTGCACAGGACTGCACAGGGCTGCACTGGGCTGCACAGGACTGCACAGGGCTGCACTGGGCTGCACAGGACTGCACAGGGCTGAACCAGGTCCTCTGTGTGTGTATTATGGCTTCCAGCCTGTTGTTTTTATGGGGTTCCTGAATGTGCCTCGTTTCAGCTTTCCCTTCTGTTGCTTTGCCTAACTTTGATGTGATATTTTTTTTATTTATCTTACAGTGTATTTTGATATATATGTATACATACATACATACATACATACAATGATGAATGAATGGAAACCTAGCCACTAGGTTAACAGTTAACAACTGATCTGTCTGTCACTTACCTGCTGGGAGAGAGAAAATGAGTTTTCCTTCATAGAGTGATACATCAACCTCTCCAGGGCAGGCCTCATGTTCAGGAGGAGCTGACAACATATAATGGACTCCATAGCATTTTTGTGTTTTTATTTGGTTATAGTGTGATGTTTTTTGTTTCTGTTTTTGAGGTTTTTTTGGTTTTGTGTTTGTTTTTTTTTTTTTGTTTTTGTTTTTGTTTTTTGTCTTCTTTTTTGGGTCTGGGTTTATTTTGTTTTCTTGGTCTGGGGAGGGGTTGTTGTATTGGGCTTATTTATTTATTTAGAGAAAGAAGCTAAAGTTGAGTGGGTAGGGAGAGGATCTGGAAGGGCTTGTGAAGGAGGAATATGACAAAAATGTATTTAAATTTATAAATTGTTTTAAATGATAAAAATACTACTCTTGATCTTGATATGTGTAGATATTTGGGATTACAGATTTTCTTCTAAGATAACTACTAGTTTGTGTCCATATCCTTCTATATCACCCTCTTCCATGAGTTACACTTGTATAAATAAGCATTCATATATAGAATTTATGAAATAAAAAATGTTAGAATGTCATAGTTGCCCCTTTCCTCCCTCATTAAAAACAACAACAACAACAAAACCCCTCTCTATTCTGATAAATGCCAATGAACTTACATATAGTTTGCAATCAACAAAAAAAAATTACTCACTTGGAAAGTAACCCATCAGGTCCAAAAGGCTTTAAAAGGTACTTGTCCACTGGCTTGTTAAACAGTTGATATGGCAACTTCACATGCTTGGTGACATTATGGAGATTCAAGGCATATAGGGTTAAATCTCCGTCCTGATACCTTGGGCTAAAAGCAAACAGGTTAATCCAGTCACATGTCCGTGTGACTTACACAATGAACAACTTGAACATTCATACAATTGGAGATACTGAGAGCCCGTGTTCATAGTGGTGGCGGGACCCATTAGTGACCTTTTCTAGGATGGTGTTGGGCCAGTCTTGGGGCCCTGGTTTGAAAACAAGAAAAGTACTGCTCTTTGCATCACTACCTCGTGAGCCAGAGCACTGAGAGCTGTGCTCCTTGCCACACTGAGCTCCAGAAGGCTGCAGCCAGCTTTCACAGTTAGGAAGGTTTAATGATAATAAGATCTATAGTGAATTCCAGTTATAAACTATACAAATAAGAACGATTCCTAGTCTTATAAAAAAGACTGAACAGGAGACTGAGTAGAGCATGGGCTTCTCTTTCAGAGGACTAGGGTTCATCCCATAACCCACAACTGTTATAACTCCAATTTCAAAGGGCACCTGGTACACACATGGTAGGTACGCAAACACACAGGCAAACACCCATACATATAAAGTAAAAATAATTAAAAAAAGAAAAATAAAGATGGAAACGGGGCTGGGGAGATGGATAAGCTGGTAAAAAATGCTCACTCAATCTCCAGAAGCCCTGTAAAAAGATGGACAAGGTGGCTTGTGTTTGTCATTCTAGTGACAGTAAGACAAAAAGGAGAGACACATGATTCTCTAGAGCTTGCCAGCCAGCTAGCCTAGCAAACTTGGCAATGTTGCAGGCCAATGAGCGGCCCTGTCTCTAACAAAAGGTAGACAACATCCGAGGAAGGGCCCCTGAGATTGTTGACTTCTTCATGCACACTCGTGTATGTACATGCACACACGTGAACACACATGTGCCCCACATGTGAACATGCACATACACAAAATATAATAATCAGGCAATGCGAAAGGATAGTTAAAACAAACAAAGGCCAAGCACATGGCAAGCAGAGGCAGGCAGATCTGAATTCAAGGGCCAGCCTGGTTTCCATAGCAAATTCCAGGCCAGTCAAGACTACCTAGTAAGATCCTATTTCAAACAAAACACAAATCTGTTGAATTTTTCAGAATTTATCCAGTTAAATCATTCCATACTTCATACCATGACTGTCACTATTCACAGAGTCCCAAGTCCCCAGGAATGAAGAATGTTAGGTGGCTTTGGGGGCTAGCATTAGCCTGTCTGCCATGATAGACTGAAACTCAGATAAGCAAAACCCTGAGGTTCTACCTAACGACAGAGTACAGAGCTATGAACGTCTGCATGGCCAGGGCTATAAAGGTCTGCATGGCCAGGGCTACAAACATCCACATGGCCTCTCACAACTCACAACTCTAAGTCTCGAGACTGGAGCTTAAATACCCTGCAGGCGTGGTCTTGTGTGTGTGTGGTTGGTGCCTGCCGGAGCCAGTGTCAAATGCCCTAAAACTAGAGTTACAAAACAGTTGTGAGTCACTATGTGGGTGCTGGGAATTGAACCTGCGTCCTCAGCCAGTGCTCTTGTAAGGATGGAAAAATACAGCCTAACTCTGCAATGACCCCAGGAAGCTAAAAGTTTAGAAATACTATCTAAAAAGCCCTAAAAACCTCAAATTCCAGACCCCGTCCTCTGCCAGTAAATAGGCAAGGTCACACTCATTGCTGTTTACGGCAGACAGGCCCTTGAGTACGTAATCTTGGCCTAGTACGATAACAGAAAATGAGCTGGCTAACCGCTTATCCGACTTTGTAAACTGCTTGTGAAACCCCGCTCCCCAGTGACCTATGTGTGGGCTTTGTTGTAAACCCTATAAAAATTGTCTCAATTCTGCCCTCGAGGTCCTCAGTCCTCTACCCCTGCGTGGTGTATGACTGTGGACCCCAGTGCACGTGGAATAAAAACTCCTCATGCTATTTGCATCAAGACTGCTTCTCGTGAGTGATTTGGGGTGTTGCCTTTCCTGAGTGGGAGCGTGAAGGTCCACGCTCTGCAGATCTTTCACTCTTAATTGCTGAGCCATATTTCCAGCCCCTGTTTAAGCAACTGTATGTGTTCTTGTATGTGTGTGTTCCTGGGCAGGAGCACACATATGCAGATGTGTGCTCATGTGTCTGGTGGCTGGAGACTGACATTTGATTTTTTTTTAGTTGCCCTCCATTTTTATTTTATTTATTTTGAGACAGTGTCTCTTGTTCATTGGCTTGGAGCTCATGAATTCAGATAGACTGGCCAATCAGCACCAGCAGGAGTGTCTCTGCTTTCCCAGTGTCCTAACTACAGGACACACTGCCACATCCGGCTTTTACTACGTGGGTGCTGGATATTGAACTTATGTTTCCACACAAGCCCTTCCCCAACTGAGCCATCTACCTCATCCCACAGGATGCTCTTCCAAGTCAGACGCTGGTATCATGAAGACAGAGGATAAAGGGAATGACATAGTTCAGATCCATTGCACAGCATCTGGGGTGTCAGACTTGTCTGGGGAAGGGTGTGTTTGGTACTTACTGGTGGGTGTTTGTGCAGTGGAGATACACTCTAAGTTTGCTTCTGTCTAGGCCTTTCACTCGCGCCATGAGCACCTGGGGACCCACCAGTTTCTTGAACAGAAGAGATAGCCAGTAATCCTATCATTTAGGGAGAGGGACCGAAAACAGATCTCTGGTTATTTTCTTATGCATATTTTAACAAGCTAGTGTCAATCAAACAGCTATCCTACAAGAGCCTGACACTTGCCCCACAGGTATCTATGATCACAGTGAGCGGGATAAGTTCTGATCTGAATAAATCAACTCTCATAATATTTCCAACAACGAAATTGAAATATTGGCTAAATATATTCAATCGTTATCTTAAGAATTATTCTTAGAGCTGGGTGGTGGTGGCACACACCTTTAATCCTAGCGCTCGGGAGGCAGAGGCAGGCAGGTCTTTGAGGCCAGCCTGGTCTACAAGAGCTACTTCCAGGACAGGCTCCAAAGCCACAGAGAAATCCTATCTCGAAAACAAAAACAAAAAACAAAACAAAACAAAACATTGGACAAACTTTATAACATAATTGTTGTTGAGACAGGGTCTTACTCTGTATCCCAGGCTGGTTTGAAATATACCGTGTAACCTGGCTGGCCTTGAACTTAAGGTTATTCTCCTGCCTCAGCCTCTCAATTATTGGTGGGATTATTGGTAGGAAGTCACCACACCTGGATTCCATAAACAATTCTGAACCTCCCCACATCTCAGTGATGGCACCCCTTCTGACACATAGATACACATAGACAGGTAGGTTCAAATAAACATGAAAAGAGGACATGAAGTTGACAGAGAGATGCCATGAAGGTTCCTGCAGGAGTTGGAGGGAGAAATGGGGGATAGATATGATCAAGACGTATTGCATGTCTAAATGAAAATTTTAAAGAATAAACTACATAATATTTTACTAGTTCTTGGAGAGTTGCCTAAGTGTTTTGATGATATTCACACCCTCTCCTAACTCTCCGAAGGTCCAACTCCCTTTCCCTACCCACACTACTTGTTTCTGTTTTGTTTCCCCAAGACCAGTTAAAACTACTTGTTTTTCTAGTTTTAATTCTATAATGGAGTTTTGGGGGTTGGTAGTGGAAAAGTACGTAAAATTTGTGAGGTTTTAAATCCCATTTCTAATGACAATTCTAATTTATCTAAGTCCATTAAGTTGTACAGAGTTTGGGTCTAGTTAATTTTGGTGTGTGACGATTTGATTTATTTATAAGTTTGTGTTTTAAAATAATAAAGTTAAATTTAAGAATTCTGAACCTTTGCCAGCAGCTAGGATGGCATTTTATCCTTCCTTGTGTGTGTGTGTGTGTGTGTGTGTGTGTGTGTGTTATGGCATGTATATGTGTGAGTGCAAGCGCGTATGCACCATGGAGTTTGTGTGGAGGTCAGCAAGCAACCTCTAGTGTTGGCCTTTCTGCTTGTCAATGGATGACATACAGAACATCTGTCCTAAAACCTGGGAATCCTCCTGCCTCTACCTCCCATCTCCTTGTAGGAGCTCTGGGATTGCAGATGAACAACACTGCACTGGGTTTTGCATAGTTTCTAAGGATTCAAAGTGCAATAAAGGTGGTTGGGTGTTTTGACTCACACCTTTAATCCCAGCTCTCAGGAGGCAGAAGCAGATGGATCTCTGTGAATACGTGGCCAGCCTGGGCTACATAGTGCATTCCAGGACAACAAGAGTCACAACATAGAGAGACCTTGTCGTTAAAAAACCAAAAGCCAACACAAAACAAACAGAAAACCAAATGCAATAAGCACCTTGACTAACTGAGTCGCCCTCCCAGCCCTAAGATAGCAATTTTAGTTTTAACTTGCCTTGCAAAACATTCATTCAAAAATTTTAATAAAATGCACACCATACTCTTTGGACAATATTTTAGTTTTTGTTTATTTTATCATTATCAATATTTTCGCTTTTGCTTTTTGAGACAGGGTTTCTTAGTGTAGCCCTGGCTGTCCTGGAACTCACTCTGTAGACCAGGCTGGCCTCAAACTCACAGAGGTCCACCTGCCTCTGCCTTTCGAGTGCTGGGATTAAAGGAGTGCACTGTCATGGCCCAGCAAGTGGACAATATTTTAAAAATCATTCCTGATTTTTCATTTCTTCTCTCTCTCTCTACACACACACACACACACACACACACACACACACACAAACACACGGCTCTTTACTGAGGGGATTGCCTATTCCTAGATTAAGGTCACTTACAGGTAAAGGCTCGAAGTTTTCATCCACTAAGTGGTAGTTGCCCGCTCCGAAGAACACCTGCCTCATCACCACTTCTATGCCCATCTGGGCTGAGATGCCCAATTTATCCAGCCACCTGGGACAGAGTGACACGAGCTTTCTTTAGATAGGAAAACAAAGTCATTCCATTCTAATTACACATAGATTTGTTCATCTGTGTGGGAGGAATCAATAGGAAACTACAAGAATGGCATTAACTACAAATAAGTCATTCAAATGACATGGTGAGAAAAGTAACACACACCCACACACACCCTCACTCACACACACACACACACACACACACCCCACACATCCCCATACACCCTCACTCACACACACTCACACACACCCCACACATCCCCACACACCCTCACTCACTCACACATACACACACTCTCACACACACACACCCCACACTCTCTCACACACACACATACCCCACACATCCCCATACACCCTCACTCACACACACTCACACACACACACACCCTCACTCACACACACACACCCTCACTCACACACACACACACCCCACACATCCCCACACACCCTCACTCACTCACACACACACCCCACACTCTCTCACACACACACATAGCCCACACATCCCCATACACCCTCACTCACACACACTCACACACACACACACCCTCATTCACACACACCCCCACTCACACAACACACACACACACACACACACGCACACGCACGCACGCACGCACACCCCTCTCATACGCTCTATCTAGAGCAACATTAATAACCAGCAGATTTCCTCAAGGGCAGGACTTCTACAGAGCAGAACCAACCCCCCGATCATCTTCCCCACACTTTCAGTGAACGGCAAGCTCTTCATTCTTTTCTCAATTCCTTGTGCCCTCTTGGACATTGAAGGGTTTGTGTTTTACTCTAACTTATAACAAGGAAGATGGTGGCAACAACAGAGCAAAATGGAAGAGAAAAAAAAAGCCCCAGTAGGGCTACAGAATGAAGAGCACGGAGACAGTGAGGGACTAAATATAAGCCACTCCTGCTCTAAACCAACCACATTTGTGTAGCAGACGAGGTATCACAGCCAATCCTGCAGTTCACAGGTCACCCTCAAGTGTGACAGAAGTCTTTTAGGGCCAAACTCTGGAAGAAGTTTTATCATCTTCCCTCTCCTACTCAGCTTTTCCTCTGAAGTGTAGCCAGTGTTCTTAACCACTGAACCATCTCTGGAACCTGGAAATTTACTTTTTTTTTTTTTTTGGTAAGACCTGGCACAAAATTTGGGGGCTCTGTCAGAGAAATTGTGTTGATCTGAGTTTCGGCTGACACTGGAGATGGAAAAGCTCTGGAATCTGAAAGCTGATACAGTATCACTCACATAAAGCCAGCAGCAAAGGTGTTGGACAGCGAGGGTGCACCACCGCCATAGGCAGAGCTTGTTTCTCCCAACCAGACCTTTTTGCCAGGTCTAATTTCCTTAGTCACCTGGAGAACAGGAATGGTTCCATGGTCACTGAAAACAAGTCACCCACCTCCGTACTGAATGTGAACGGCACGAAAGCTGCGATTCTCCAGACTCATCCATCCTGTCCTTAGACTCACTTAGGTCTTCATCATTATCTCTTATGGGCCCAGTAGGGTATAGAAGGCATATAAATAGATATGGTCCATAACAGTTAATTAGAAGTATTTTGTTTCTAAGTACCACGACTAAACAAGATCCAACATAAGGAGGAAACCAGGGACTAAGACACAGTGCTAACCCTTTACAATTAGAAAAAAAAAATATTACAATACACATAAACCCATAGACATCATTAGACTATAACACACAGACTAGTGTGTGTGAAAATTTTAGCAAGACTATTACCTTTAGAATTTTTTGCACAGATAAAATAAAGGTGTCCAGCACATCAGAGCTCAGAAAATCTTCTTTGGTGGCAATGCGTCCATTTAAGTAGTAGCTAAATTATTCAGAAAAAAAAGTACAGTTTACTTCCTGTTGTTAAGTCAGCTCTAAACCTCGTTCTTCCTCCAACCCTTTCTCACTGTTAGTTTTTTAAAAGGCAGAAGTCACTCCAGGGAGGAGCTAATGTGGGGAAGGGACTATCCTATTCAAGTAGCTATAAATCAGCTATCCCACCTTAAGCAGAGACCGAAGAACTGCGGCCCGCAACTGGTCCTACCTGCTTTTGTGGCCCATGGCTTAGTTGGCCATGGACCTCCATCTTCACAGTAACTATCTCATCATTTAAAGAAATATTACACCTTGTTTTACCAATGTTGAGATCCTTGTGTAATGATATTTGAGATGCTGCTCGCTTATTACTGGAGCTGTCCAAAGTCAATCAGCAGCCTGACAAAAATAACTTCTTGAGAATTGGCAATAAGTTCAATGAGAACAGACACAGTACTCTCTGCCTTCAACTCCAGCACTAGGGAAGTGAGGCATGGGGGTCTGCGATTTCAAGGCCAGCTGGTCGACATAGAGAGGTCCAGGACAGCCAGCCAGGGCTACATAGACTGTCTCAAAAAAAAAAAAAAAAAAAAAAAAAAATCAAAACAAAGCAGAAACACATAAAAAAAAAAAAAAAAAAAAAAAAAAGACAGGTTTCGCTGGGCAGCCTTGGCTGTCCTGGAACACACTCTGTAGCCCAGACTGGACTCGAACTCAGAGACTCACCTATTTCTGCCTCTTGGGTACTGGGATTAAAGGTATGTGCTACTACTGAACCTCAATAATATTTATTTAAATTATTTGGTATTTATTTAGGGAAAGGGTCTCACTCTGCAGCCCAGGCTGACCTGGAGCTTTCACTATGTAGATAAGGCTGGCCACAAACTCACAGAGACCCACTGGCCTACGTCTCCTGTGTGTCTAGATTAAAGATGTGCACACTACACCCAAATGACTTTTCATTTTTATGTGTAAGTGTGTGCTTGCATGAGTTTATAGTCACCATGTGTGTGGTATCCTTAGAGGCCAGAAAGGGGTATTGGATTCTTTGCAAAGGGAGTTATGGGCTGTTGTAAACCCAGGTCCCCTGCAAGAGCAGCAAGTGTTCTAACCACAGAGCCACCCCTCCATCCCATTAGCTGCTAGTAGTAATGTAACTATAACTATATCTCGGAGGCATTTGGGGTATTAAACAATCTGAAGTTGATAAAGAGGATATTAAGTTAATGCAAGTACTTACTGATGCCACGTAAGGGCGTCAATCACTTCTCCACCAGCTTTCAGGAAACTAAAAGAAAAGTTTCTCAATGAGGTCACTTATCCTCAAACAAGCAGATTCAAATTTTTAGAAGAGCTTCATTCCTCAGGAATGGCTGTGTATGATGTAAGTCTTGAGCAACACAAACACCCTAATCCTATCCTTGGAATTTTAAGTCAATGTTTCCTCTTTGGGTAAACACCATAACAGCAGACTGTTTAATAATGTTGACTATGGAGGATTCTCCATCGGAAAGTACCGTTTATCTCTAAGAAGAGTTCTGCAAAGAAGCAAAGAAGCCCCTATCCCTCTCAGAGCTGAAGTCAAGGTCAAGGCCATCGAAAGCCAAGAAGGCAGTGTTGAAAGACATCCACGGACACGTAAAGAAGAGCTGCACATCACCCACCCTCCATAGCCCATGGCCCACAGCTCCAGGGACAACCCAAACGCCTCTGCTAGAGCATCCCCAGGAGAAACAAGCTTGACTCCTAGGCTGTCATCTCCCAGACCACTGCGTCGGTCATGGGAAAATAGAAGTCATCAACACACTCCAGTTCCTTGTTTATGTCAAGACCAACAAGAGTGAAATCAAAGGGACTGAGAGGAAACTCTAGGGCGTGGATAGGGTCCAAGGATACCCTGGCCAGGCCCGATAAAGGGCGCATGCTCCATTGCCTCCTCACACAAAGCTTTGGAGATTGTCAACAAAACTGGAATCATCCAAACTGAGTTCAGGGGGCTAATTTTAAGTACACATTTTTTTTTCACCATTAAAAAACAAGAGGGCATTGGAATGTGATAGCTCACACCTTTAAATCCAGCACTCAGGAGACAGAGGCAGCTGGATCTCTGAGTTCTAAGTCAGCCCAGTCTACAGTGTGAGTTCCAGGACAGCCAGGGCTACATGGAGAAGCCCTGTTTGGGGGTGGGGGGAAGAGGAGAAAGTAGTTGTACACTCCCCAAGTCCTACCTTCTCAGCAGCTTAACGGTCTTCCCTCGAGGCTGGCCAATGTCAGGACCATAGAGTTTTGCATTTTTGAAAGCTGACTTTCGTAGAAGCTTATGAAACTCAACAAAATCTTGTCCTAACTGCAGCCCATCGATGAAAATGTGAGCTTTCTTCCAGAAACTGTTGGGCTCTGAAAGACAGCAATGCTCCTGCTCACCTCTCACCTAAACAGCCTCTATTTAAACACAAGCACCCAGCAACCAACAGTTTTCAAACTACAAACCTAGAACTGAAAGTCAAGAAAAGTGGGCTGGAGAGATGGCTCATCGGTTAAGAGCGCTGACTGTTCTTCCAGAGGACCCAGGTTCAATTCCCAGCACCCACATGGCCATGCACAACTGTCTATAACTCCAGTTCCAGAGAGTCCAATACACAGGAAAAGCACCAATTCACATTGAGAGAGAGAGAGAGAGAGAGAGAGAGAGAGAGAGAGAGAGAGAGAGAGAGAGAGAGAGAGAAATAGTGAGGGAAAATAAAGGCCCCTCCAGTTAATAAAGAAGATAGTTTAGAAACAACAACATCTTAACTATGGCACAAGGAGGGAGTAAATACATTGGAATTAATAATAGAGGTGTTAAGCAATGGGCACCTGGAAAATTGTTTATAGACAGTATTTAGTAGCCCAATTTATTTATTTACCTACAAAGAACAAGAGAAAACAAGGGGCTAGAGAGAGCTCAAGCGGTAAAATACCTGCCTTGCAAGCAGGACCTGAGACATCCCCAGACATGGTGGCCCGTTTGTCAGACGTGGTGGCCAGCTTGTAAACCCAGCACTGGAGAGGCAGAGACAGACATCTCTGTGGCTTGCTCCACAGCTAGCCCAGTCTACAAGGTGAGTTCCAGGCCAGTGAGAGCCCATGTCTGTCTCACACAAAAAAAGTTAGAAGGCACCAAAGGAAGTACACTTTAGGGTATTCTTTGGCCTCTGAATGCTCATGTGTATGAGCATAAGCACGCTCGTGCACACACAAACACACATGCACTCACACACTGAAAAAAAAAACAAGAAAGAAAAAGAAAAATGTGCTCAGTAAATGACTGCATTTTAATTTTTGCACTTCATATTTAGCTTTATTGCTTCAAGTATGGGAAATTCTTACAAATATATTTTTTAATAAATCTGACTAATCATTAGCATATTAGTTAGAACTTGTAAGTTCCTTGGGACTGGAAAGATGGATCAGCAGTTAAGAGCATTGGCTGCTTGTCCATATGACCTGGACATGCCTTGTGGCTCACAGCTATCTATAATCTATGTTGGCAGCTTCCAGACAGCTTGAGCATATGATGGAGGTTGGCATGGGGTTTGGAGTGTAGTAGCTAGTTTGTTGCAATAACCGAAGGCAACTTGCATAAGAAATAATATCTTTTGTCTTAATGGTTCCAGAGAGGAAGCATGGCAGAAGGTGACCAGTACAGGAAGCTGAAAGAGCACATCTTCGTCACACACAGAATGCAAGATGTACTCACAAGGTGGCTCAGCTGGTGAAACATTTGTCACAGAACCGTTGTAGAGGTGGAAGAAGAAAACCAACCCCACAAAATGGTCCTCTAACCTAAACATGTGTGCTGTGTGTGGCCCATGACCTTTTCTCATCACACACTTGAAAACAATAATAACAATACACAATTGGGGGTGCGGACAATGTTCAAGACAGATTTTCTCTGTGTAGCCCTACCTGGCTGTCCTGGAACTCACTCTGTAGACCAGGCTGGCCTTGAACTCACGGAGATCCGCCTGCCTCTGCCTCCTGAATGCTGAGATTAAAGGTGTGTGCCACTACCACACCACCTGGTTCCACACACATTTTTTTTTTTTTAAATAAATGTAACAACCATAAAGGTTAGGGTGATGGCTGCTTTGTGAGCACAGTGCTTGCCATGGAAAGTGGGGCACCTGAGCTCATAGCTCTGGCATCCACAGGAAATGTTTGGCATGGTACTATCCCACTGCAGGGGAGAAAAGACAGGAATCCCAGGGCTCGGTGGCCATCCACTCCAGTTAATCACTGAATTCTAAGTTCAGTAAGACACCCTGCCTCAAACGAGGTAGAGGCTGACAGGAGGGCACCTGACCAGAGATGGAAATGCATGGCGTGGGCATGGGCACACACATACACACACACACACACACACACACACACACACACACACACCAGGCCCATAAACTGGGGTTATTGATAGCTTCTGAGATTCAGAGTTTTCTGCTGATGGAGTTTCATTACTGTTAAGCATGATCAATGACTGGGGTGGGGGAGGTTATGGAAAAGACCTCAAACATTTACCAATATGGGAAAGAATATCAAAACAGGAAAACAAACAGTGAGGAAATTCCTTTATGAATGAAATCTTCCTGGTTACATACCGTTGCCCAGTTCCCAGGAGATGTTGTAACCCTTGGAAGCACAGTACCCCAGCAGCAGCTGAGCGTTGGAGCTGTTCCAACGCATGTCTGGAGTTCTTAGCAATGCATTCAGACCAAAGATCAGGTCTAGCCCTGAGCACTTTGCAAAACTGTACAGCATGTCCACTGAGCTTCCTAAAAGAAAAATGGTGATGTTTAGTTATGTCAGCACCACAGTGAAGACTACCCCCAGGCTCAATCTTCATGAGATTTCTTTATATTGTTTAGTCAAAGTAATTCCATTCCTAATAAATGGTCGTCATTATGCCTAAGCAATGACATAAGTGGACAGGCAAATCAAAAAAAAGAAAAGCCTGTGCTGGGCACCTAGCCCAGTTCGTAGAGTAGTTATCTAGCATGGAAGGAACCCGGGTTCTATTCAGGACTCAAACTCACAATACAGCTTAGGACGACCTTGAATTTCTAATTTTCTTCTTTGGCCTCCATCTCCTAAGTATTGGGATGTAGCATTTTCCTTTTATTTTGAGAGTGTCAATAATACAATTTTAAGTTTTTAAACTTTTATTTTTATTTTATGTCAATGAGCAACCACTCACACGTGCCTGCATGCATGCCTGTGTACCACCACACACATACAATGCTTCCAGGGGCTAGAAAAGATGGATTTCCTGGAACTAGGGTTACAGGTGTTTGTGAGCTGCCATGTTGTGCTGGGAATTGGCAGCAAGTGCTCTTAACCACGGAGCCACCTCTCCACCTTCAACAACACATTTTAAGTGTGGCCTTTGAACTGGGTGTCATAGGTGTACTGGGCCTCTTCGATTGTCATGTAACTTTCAAATCACTATTCAGCAGAAATTCACTCAGAAACTTTCTAATTTAGAAACAAATAAACACCTCTCTGTGAGGTAAATGCAAAAACTTCCACCTTTGCTTTGTTGGGCTGCAAAGTCTTTGGCTCAGATCACCTTGGTAATCACAACAGGGAAGCCTTGTGTTCTATCTTGCTGACCACTGAGTGGCACAACTCCAGCGAGCCTGAGGTGTTCTGACATTTCCTGCTTCACTTGCACAGCTCTGTGGCCAGTCTTCAAGGAGTCTGAGAGACTCTGGAGTATAGCCACCTAGCATTCCACTGGGAATCACAGAGCACACACAAACCTCCACACTCACTTTCCTGTGAGGTCCAAATGGCACAAGTGTTGCCTAACTGCACACCGGGTTTGTGGTGGCTGTTCCAGCACAGTTCTCAACAATACATGTAGACCAAAGATGAAGTGCAGCCCTAAGCCCTTAACAGAAGCATAGTGCTGACCACCAGAGCCTACTGCCAACTGTATATTGTAAAAGTGTGCTTTAGAAAGTTCTCTGGCTCACAAATCTGCCACCAGAGTCACAGGTCCACCTCTCTCACTTACAGAGGCACAGGAGTACTGTGGAACAAGCAATATGTGTCATTTTCGTTGTTAATAAAAAGCCGATTGGCCAATGACTCGGCAGGATTTTCAGGGCAGAGAGAATGCTGGGAAGAAGAAGGGCAGCGTCAGAGGAGTGGCCAGCCAGATAGAAAGGAAGCAGGACATTCATGAGAGGTAGAAGCCATGAGCCTCTGGGCAGTGCATAGATGAATATAAATGGGTTAATTTAAGTTGTAAGAGCTAGTTAGTAATAAGCCTGAGTTATTAGCCGAGTATTTATAATTAATAATGTCTCTGAGTGGTTATTTGGAGTGACTGCTGAGTCACAGAGAAACTCCACCTATACAGGAGCAACATGTGTACCCTCCAGCTACGGATCTACCATCCCCAAATGTGGACCAGACACATCTACCCCAAAGACCAAGGCTGAGAGCCAGATTTAGTGACACAAGCCTGTGATCCCAGTACTTGGAAGCTTAAGGCACAAGAATTAAGAGTTTGAGGCTAGCCTAGGCTACGAAGTGAAACCTTATCTCAAACAACAACAAAACAAATGAATTCATGAACACCTTTGGAACCAACCAAACAATCACCCTTTACAGGTATGAGGCACCTGTGCTGCCTACCTCTCCTCATCCCCAAGATGTCTAGCATGCTTGTCGTGCAGAGTATATTCTTTTTTTTATTCTTCCAAATGTACTGGGAGTTTATGTATGTTATACATCCCCTAAACACACAGTAAACAATAATAGCTCCTAGCACAGAGGTAATATACTTGTGAGTTCAAACATATACTTAAGAATAAAGACAAGGGGGCCAAAGAAATGGCACAGTAGCTAAAGGTACTTGCCACCAACCTAATGACCTGAGTTTGGTTCCCCAGGATCCCTATGGTGAAAGGAGAGGACAAGTTGTCCTCTAACCTCCACACATTCCACACATGTGAAATAGTCTCCCCCCCCCCTCAGAAAGTAGAGATATCTTTGGGATGAACATAAACTAGATGATGTATTGAAGAAACAGAACGGGATCTTTTCCTTTAGTTTATAGTGTAAATTAACATCAAGGCATTCAGCATAGGGCTGTGTGCTGAGGGACAGGGGGACAGTGGGAAGAAGGCAGAGGAAAAGGAAGCCAGATGCTGCTGGCTCTTTAAATAGAATTAGTGTAAGGGTGCCACCCTTCTGTGGTTTGTCCTGAACTGCATCTGTAACTCCTGCCCAAACAAGTTTACAATTCAAACGGTTTGTCCTTAAGAGAGTAGTTCTCAACTTGTGGGTCATGATCCACTTGGAGACCATGTAAGATCATTGGAAAACACGGATAGTTACATTATATTCATAACTAGTAAAATTACAGTTATGAAGGAGCGATGAAAATAATTTCATGCTTGGAGGTCACCACAACATGAGGAACAGTAAGCATTAAAAGATCACAGGAAACATTAGGACGGTTGAGAACCACTGACTTAAGCTGACTCAAGAGGACCTGTGTTGGGAAAGTCGCCTATATTTTCTAGGACATCTCTTTGTGTGTGTGTGTGTGTGTGTGTGTGTGTGTGTGTGTGTGTGTGCATTTTTATCACCACCAGTGTAGAGACTGGACTATGCTAAGCCAATTACACGCTAGAAAGAGAAGGTCATCTCTGTAGAGGCAGGAAAGATGCCGCAAACCCATGGCCTTGGTAACATAGGATAAGTCCTAGACAATCTGTTTCAGAAGCTAGAGACAAACTAGTACGAAGTTTCATATGACCCCTCAAAATGGAAATTCACTTATTACCTAATACCATGTGGTCTCCTCACATACCCATATCATGATTTCTTACAAATAAGACCTTACCACTGTAGATTTCTAGTTCTTTCTGTCATCCCTATAGAGGAATCCCTATAGATCAGCACAGTGACTAAGGCCTGAAGATTTTTCTAACTAATCAATGAGCAAAGGCTTTAACATAAAATCACCAGGTGTGTTAGTCCCTAATTTTAAGATGAAGGGTCCAGAAATAGGAATATATAAATGAAGGGTTCATGAGTATAGGAATATAAAATTGTAAGCCCAAACACATTTTGGAAAAAAAATAAAGCTGGCAGCCACTGTTAACCTTTAACAACCACTTTCTGACTTATGAGCAGACATCCTGGCAGCCACTGTGTACAGACATAAACTTTTAACAACTGTCTCCCACCTCCCAGCTAGGCAGGTATGGCAGACTGTGATGACATTTTATGATCTAACAAATTAAGCTTGCCTGAAGATCAGAGTGCAGAGCTAGCCACACTAGTTAGCCATCAGGCAGTGGTGGCACGTGTCTTTAATCCCAGCACTCAGGAGACAGAGGCAGATGGATCTCTGTGAGTTCAAGGCCACGCTGAGCTACATGAAATTGATCCAGTCTAAAAGAGAAACAGAGCTTACACTTTTGATCCCAGCACTTGGAGTGACATGCCTTTAATCCCAGCACTAAGGAGGTGGAAACAGAAAGGGATGTGGCTGGGTGGAGAGAGGAACATAAGGCTGGAGGAGACAGGAGCTCAGTGCGGTCTGAGGATTTCATGGAGACATAGTGCCCTTTTTGATCTGAGGTATAGGTAAAAAGTCGTCCCCCACCCCCCCAAAAAAGCTAGGAAGTAGTAGCGCACCCCTTTAATCCCAGAATTTAGGAGGCAGAAGCAGGCTTTCTCTGTGAATTTGAGGCCACCCTGGTCTACAAAACTACACACAGACACTCTGCGTCAAAAAACAAAAACAAACAAACAAACAAAAATCCCTCTGGATTATTCTGACCTTCAGGCAAGCTTTGTTAGATCATAAACAAATACACCAGAGCAGACAAAGGTTATCCTCTAACTATTACCTCTATGGGAATCTCTGTATTGTATTCCCTTAATTTTTAACTATCCTTCTATGTGAGTTTACTCTTTGCCTTGCATTCTTTGGGGAACAGCAAAAAGTGGCTATGTCAGCCATAGGCTTTTGCAAACATCTTAAATTAGCATCCTATAACCAAAAGCTGTAAAACTTAAAATGTAATGTGAATTTAAGCCTGACCTCAAGGTTGTAAAAGCTCTTTGACTCACACCTGGTGCTGGATTTTACTAAAAGAGGAGGCAGGAAACCAGCACCCATTGCCACAGTGTCAGAAGCCCAAACTCTGGTCGTGGTCATGGCTAATAGCTAGTAAGCTTTTTGTGCCCCAAGGAGATTTTTTTATTTTTCTTTTTCTGGAATAAAACTTGCTTCTGGTTTAATAGACTTTGGTCTGTCCCCCATCATTTGAGACCTTTGACCCAACAAAGAAAGTCAGCCCCGCACTGAAGAATTAAAGCCAGTATTGACTTCTCCAGCTATGGAAGTCCTAGATGGTATTTTCCAGAATAAAAGACCTGGATAAGCTGTTGCGGCTACAAGTGTGCTGCTTTGCCCTGAGGGGCCCCTCGGCCCCTTTAAGCCCCCTTGCATCATCCTTGCTTTCTTCCCCGTCTCAGAATTGAGGAACACCAGGGTTTGCTCTGCCCTGGGCAAAGGGAGCACTGTGGCTGCTTTGATCCTCCATCCTGACCACTAAAACCTCCTCCATAAAGCTGTTTCACTTTTCTGTCATCCACATGCTCACTGGAGTAGAACTTCCAATTCTCTTAAACAGCCTTCCTCTTGCACTCAGGGCATGGCTAACTATTTGGTACAAGAGGCCCAGGGCTCAATCCATCTCAGTGTTAGATAAGCCTCCTTTACTACTTAATCTAGATTTTGACATAGAGTGAGAGATGTGTGACTCTTATTTGTTCCCATTTGAGTAATCAAAGGCGCACGCCTTTAATCCCAGCACCTGGGAAGCAGAGGCAATCAGATCTCTGTGAGTTTGAGGCTAGCCTGGTGTACATAGCTAGTGCCAGGACAGGCTTCAAAGCCATACAGAGAAACCTTGTCTGGGGGTGGGGGTGGGGGTAGAGGAGGAAACACAGTGATATAAAAAGGTAAAGGGGAATAAAGGAACAGAAAGGGTTAAATTGGGAGACAGGGACATGGCAGAAAAGGGAGTATATGGAGGGGTAACTAACAATAGGGCATTTTAGAAGGTTACAAGATCTTGGCATGGTGGCCTACACCTTCAATCCCAGTACTTGGGTTGGGGGGGCAGAGGCAGGCAGATCTCTGTAGTTCTAGATCAGCCTGGTTTACAGAGCGAGTTACAGAACAGCCCTGGCTACACAGAGAAATTCTGTCTTATAAAACAAACAAACAAAAAAGTTATATGGCTATGTCAAATATTTATCTGGCTTGGATCTGGAGCGTTTTACAATCCACATGTGTTTGGATTTGGGAGTAACAGAGAAACCATGTCTCAAAAAACAAAACAAAACAAAGGATATATGGTTAGGTCAAATATTTGTCTGGAATGCTTGGATCTGAAGTGTCTCACAGCCCACATTTGTTTGGATTTGGGAGTATTGCAGCCTTTACAAACTGCACATCTCTAGTTCAACCAAGACTCAAAACAGTGGACTTTGGAGGATTTCAAATTTTGTGCTTTCAGATTCTTTCAGATTCAGGGTTTTCAATCACTGGGGGTTTTCCATACTTCTTTGAGGAGAAGCAGAAGAAAAAAGGAAGTGTGGGTGAGTTTTCTATGTTACACTTCCATATTCTACTTTTCCACGAAGACTATATTCATGTTTTGACTCCCATGCTGCTTTCTGAATCCTACTCTGCAGCCGGCTGAAAGAGTCAGAAGTCAAGGAAAAAGCCACACGAGCTTTGGTTTGGTTCAAGGTCTTCCACAAATTGCTTTTCTTCTTTTTTCCATGCTGGCTACTGAAACCAGAGCCTTGCCCATGCTCAGAGTGTGTTCTAGCACTGAGCTATACGCCTGCCTCTCTTATTAATTGTGTGTGTACATGTGTGTTCATGTATACAATGAATGCACATGCTTATGGAGGTCAGAGGTCAACATTGAGTGTCTTTTTGTTTTTCATCTGATTTCTAAAAAAGTACTACCACCCATCACCAATAATAGTGAATAACTTAAAAAATGATTTACTAATGTGTGCAGGTGTTTCATCTGAATATATGTCTAAATATATGAGTATGAATATATGAGTGCTTGGCACCTCAGAAGGTAGAAGAGGGTGTCAGACCCCCCAGGAACTGGAGTTGAGGCAGTTGTGAGTCACCCACGTGGGTGCTGGCAATCACACCCAAGTTCTCTGGAAGAGCAGCAAGTGCTCTTTGTGTGTATGTGTGTGTGTGTGTGGGTCATTAAATCAGGCTATCCTGGAACTCACTCCGTAGACTAGGCTGGCCTTGAACTCATAGAGATCCGCCTGCCTCTGCCCCTGCCTCTGCCTCGTGAGTGCTGGAAATAAAGGCATGTGCCACCACTGCCTGGAGCAACCAATGCTCGTAGCCACTGAGCCACCTTAATTGCTCTTAACCACGCCAGCCCCCACTTTAGGCTTTGAGACAGGGTCTCTCACTGAACTTGAAACTCCCTAATTGACTAGAGTAGCTGGCCAGTTAGCTCTGGGGATCCACCTGTCTCAGTCCTGGGGTTACACACATAAACACACACTCACACAAATGCACATACACACTCGATAATACACATGAACTCACATACGCTCACACATGCACGTGCACATGCACAAACGTGTGCTGGGGATCCTCATGCTTGCATGGCAGGCACCTTACCCATTGAGCCATCCCCCCCCCCAGACTCCTCATTAACTCTTGGTAGCATCTAAACACTGCACAGTTTTATGCGTTGCTGTAGGGGTTATTAAAGTTCAAGTGCAGCCCCTCCGAACAAGGCTAGAACATCTGCAAGTGCTTGTTTCTTACTTGAGTAGGTGCTGTTCTTGAATTCTCTTTGGTATTGTTCTTTGAGCAGCAACAGCTCCAGGAAGGGCCATTCCCTCTGGAGTCTCCTCATCACATCAGGAGAGACAGGCTCAGACTGGCAAACGTCTGCAAGTGGAAGAGAGAAGAACTCAGGGACCCCACTTAGTCAACTATTATGTAGGTAAGGCACATGATTAAGTTTCTGGCCACTAAGTACAAGATCACAGAAAGTTATGTAGTTACATGTGCCACATTTGTTGGCTAACTAACCACTACCAAGAAAACAACCAAAGGGCAATTTCCCTAAGCAACAGTGGGTGTATGCTTGACAGAACACTTGGCACGATGTCAAATGGTTTACTAATTCAGAAATCCCTTCAGCCGCCTGAACGTATCAGAGAATTGGATGTGGAGGTCAGAATTCAGCTCAAAGTGAAAGTTCCTTTTCAAAATACAGCTGGCTGTGGTGGCATACATTTGTCATCTCAGCCCGTGGGAGGCTGTGGCAGGAGGTTTGGCATGAATTGAGGCCAGCTTTGACTACATATCAAGACTCTGCCTTAAAAACAAAGCAGCAAAGATTGGAGAGATTTCTTAGCAGTTAACAGCACTTGGTGCTGCTGGGCAGTGGTGGCTCACACCTTTAATCCCAGTACTCGGGAGGCAGAGGCAGGAGGATCTCTATGAGTTTGAGGCCAGCCTGGTCTACAGAGAGTTCCAGGACAGATTCCAAAGCAATACAGAGAAGCCCTGTCTCAAAAAGCCAAAGGGGGGCAGGGAGAAAAAAAAAAAAGGAGCACTTTTGCTCTTGCAGAAGACCTGGGTTCAAATCTCAGTACACACTTGGTGCCTCACAATTGTCTGTAACTCCAGTTCCAGGATATATAACCCCATCTCTGAGCTCCTCAGGCTCCAGGCACACATGCGTTGAACACATATATACAGGTAAAACACCCATGCACAAAAACATACCTGGACAGTATTTGCTTTGTAATGATTTCCTCTGTGGTGAATTAGAGCTAATGGGCCCAAACTGATAAACTGCTGACTGCTCTCCCTTGAGGGCTGGTACCATCCAGGCTTCTGGAACCACGGGTGTGCGTGGGGGCCACCCCAACGCTCCTCCCAGGAAGCCTGCACTGTTTTTAATCACGAGACAGCAGGGGTGCCAGGGCTTGCTGGCAGAACCAGCTGAGAATGGCTGATGACTTCCTTTCTGGGAAGCTGCCCTGTGACAGGCTGACAGAGTCCCTTTTCTAGTTCAGTGCTCACAAAAGGTGTCTCAGAGGAGCTTCAGGGATCCCAGGGAGCCCCTCAGCTGCCCCAGGGTGAGGAAATGTGAGGAGGGAAGATCTGTGTGCCATCTAATGGCAGAGAAAAGCCAAATGGCGGAAAAGGATCACGGCTGCACATGAATGGTGGACAAGAACCAGGCTGAGCAAACTCCGGGAACTTCTTCCTAAAACAGGTCCTCAAGCCTTCTCTCTACTTCTTTCTAATCACCGTGCTCCCAGGTGTAGACTGACTAACTGCTCTGATGATCTACTCACTGGAGAAAGTGAATGGAAAGGAATGTGGAATATATGAACGAACTAAGCGCCAGGCCCTTAAGGTGTGAAGAAGTATACAATGTATCTCACAATTGTTCAAATAATAGTTTTAACAGGCATCTGATGTCTCACAGCACTTCTGAAGGTCATGGACAAATCTCCAGGTCCAGCAAGGACAGATGTCTCAGGTGAGGTCCACATACTTTCCATGTTAGAACCATCTGAGAAGCTTGCTAAAGAGTCTAAGGTGGGGCCCTGAGACCTCACCACTCAAACTCACCCGGGCAATAGGGACAGTCAGTGAAGTTGAGCCCTGGGGCATTCAGTAACTCAAATCACAGTCAGGTGAAAGTTTCCCCTGGTGTTTCTTTCTCTCTATATAACAGAGTGCTTCTGTCTACTGCTATGTTGTTACCTATAAATACTCTCCACTCTGACCCTGTTTCTTCCTATGTGTTCCCTCCAAACATACTTTCAGCTATAAACACTGCCTGTTTGTTTATAACTCCCTGTTATGCCCAGAGGAGGAAAGCCGCCCATAGCATCTTCGTTCCCCTGGGGTCCTCTACTTATCTAATGGCCAGGTCTGAGCAATAACACTTTTGACTAAGCATCCTAAGGACTGGTACAGGTTAACTAAAATATGTAATCTTTTCACCGTGGTTGACTTGAGATTGCCAGTAACTTCTTTCTTCAAAAGTTGGTTCCTTCTTGGGATCAAAAATAAGGAAGTCGGTCTTGGTACCACCAAATCTCAAGTATGCAGGAGATAAACCTCTGGCTAAAGTTCGAAGCCTTGGAGAGCTGTTATGAAGACAAGTAAGAAAGTATAATAACAATTATTATTATCTTAGTTTTTTGAGACATCTTACTATGTAGACCAGACTTGCTTCAAACTTGGGGTCCCTCTGTCTTTGTGCTGGGTTCTGGGAGTATAGGCATGCACCACCATTACGGCTTGTAATTATTATTTTCTGAGAAAGCACAGTTAAACATTTTCACTTCTTTCTCTCTTAGTGGGCCTATTCCTTAATTTCTAGCTGCTATCTGCCCTAGGGGGTGGAGAGAGGTGAACAGTTCAAGACATATTTATCCACAGAAATAAAAGACTTGGTGGTCAAGTGGTCAGGAGTTTGGGGAAATACCCTGAGAAAAGCAGTTTAGCTGAAGTGTAAGAAAAGTATTTCAAAATAGCAATTATCTCAATGAAGACAAAACGTAATAGTCACACAGCCCGTGAATGCCAATACACAGCCCAAAGGCTTATGCAAAGGACTTTCTCAGAATCACTCAGGCCTCACGCCATCCCACTGGCTGGGCATTGGTTCTCTTTCTTGGCATTTTTGTTTTGTATGATGACAGAAGAGATCCACTTTGATTTATGTAGCTACTATATCTATAAGTAATTGAGACTAGGCAAGAGATCGGTGTCCCTTGGGAACTGGAGGGGAAAGGAGCAGTAGTACTATATGATAGTCTGGTTCAGATACACGTGGACCAAAGCCTGGTGCACAGAGCTATGGACTACGGAAAGCTCATTGGGTCGCTCTCCATCAATCCAACCTGCCTCATGTCCTGCGGAGGATCTCCCACCCTTTGAAATCAGCTTCCTCTTGTCTCAACTGCCCTGCCTCTCCCACCTGCTGCCCCTGGTACTGGTTCCCTAAGAACCTTGTCTGGCCTATCAGATTCTTCCCAGTGCCTACACGAATGCCTGGCACACAGCAGTGCTTAGCCAATATTTGCTAAGCGAATGAACAAAGAAAGCCAGCCTGAGAAAGGGCAAAGGGAGGCCAGCCAATGACTACATTTTTGAACAAGATGACAGTAAAACTCATTGCTATGGCCACTGCCACATTAAGCAAGTCATATGTCTTGGAGTTTTGCTAGGAAAAACCTTTTTGTTTGTCTACTTTGTAGTAAAGTCTCTTTTGTGCTCTTAGAACACAATATTGAGGCCTTCTGACAAAAAAAAAAAACAAAAACAAACAAAAAAAAAAAAACAAAAAAGCAAAACAGATTTAACACAGCTGCAAAACTTGCCATAAAAACAAAATTGATCAAAGGCAAAGTATTTCAATCACATGCAGGAGAAAGAAAGGAAATGCCCGCCACCACAGTGTCATGGAAATAAAGGAATGTGTAAGGCAGCTGCAGCTGCTCCCTTTCCAGAGGAGGTTGTCAAGGGAAAAAAAAAATACAAAAACACAAAACAGTCTGCAGGTGTTTTTATTTTACCTTTAGGGCAAAAATACATTGCTCATCTTTAACAGAGCAGAGGTGGCTTATTAATATACACTAAATGCTATTATATTTCCATTTCCAGATTTAAGGGCCACCCCAGAGATTCCAAAAGAAGGTAACAGGATGGACTAAGTGACAGCTGGCATTTCAGCAAGAGCAATGAGGCAGAAGTAGAGGTTATTATCACAGAACGGTTTGGATGATAAATCAAACAGCTCAAATATGGGAGAGATCGAGAGAGGCAGCTGCTCAAGGAGGCGCTGTGTAAAAGGCAGGCATGTTGAGAATTTACTTTTGCTATAATGTGAAGGAACTGAGAAGGCATGGAATTGTGATCCTAGAGTGCGAAGTTGGAGTTTGAAGTTTTCACATACAGAAGTGATGTTTCTGGAGATGAAGAGAGTCAAGACATGGTCATGATGTTTGCAGGTTGAAATGGAGTAGAGCGGCATGTGACAACAACCAACTGTCTGCAAAAAAGCACCCGGTTCACAGTGCTTGCTAATTTTCATGGTGTGCATATTTCCACTGTTACCAAGGTACCGGTGTGATGCCATAGAATGTGGTGGTTTGAAGAAATGCACACATTTCATGGGGTGATGCAAACTGGCCCAACACTGAGTAACAGTTACCTGAGAGGAAGGATGGAGAAACTGAGAGATTTGTTTTTTCAGATAAATGTGATGTCACCTAAGACAATAATGGGACGCAGAACTGAGAACAGTGCCAGATTTTAACCAATATGGAGACCAGGGAAGCAGTGAAGCCAAAGATTGACTGAGAGCTGGAGGAGAACCACACACTCGTCTACAGCAACCATCTCTAATACACACCAGTTTCATCCAGCACTTGAGGCAGATTGGAAGGATTTTTTTTTTTTCTCTCACTTAGTCTGCCGGCATCACAATGATCTGGGTGTCATTATTATCCTCTCTTTATAATCACAGAACCTAAACAAAAAAGAGCTAAGATAACTCACCAAAGGTAAAAAGCCAAAAGGGACTTGAATTACAGTGGTCTGCATGCAGACTAGAGAGCCATTATCTAGGAGTAGCAGGCACAGGAATGGAGTATGAAAGAATGGATGGCTCACACTCAACAGGTGTACAGAAGAGGAGTCTTCAGGGAAGTGCCCTGTATTAGCTAGGGCACAGGGGTAAAGGAATACTCTATGAGAATGACAACAGGGTTACCAAGCTCAAGGCTTCGGGAGCATGGTGGAATGGCTTGGGAGGGAAGGGACACCAAGAGGTCAATCAGGAGACAGCTTCTCAGGGATCAGTTCCTTGTCTCTCTTCAGTCAAAATGACTTGTCTGAGTACTAGACAGGGGACATGTGGCCCTGTACAGTGTGGGTCTGGTGGTTAGAATGATAAGTGTCCCATATAGGCACACTTATTTGAACATGTGGTCCCCAGAAGACAGTGTTGTTTGTCTGAAGAGTTTTAAGATAAGGCCTGGCTAGAGGAGGTATGCCACTAGGGGTGGGCTTTCAGATCACCTAGCCTTACCCACTTCCAGAAGCTCTTTTTGCTTTTTGTGTTACTTCCTATTCAGGCCATGAGCTGCCATTCTTCCCCTGCCACCCGGATTCTCTCTGAAACAGTAAGCCCAAACAAACCCTTTCTTCCTTAAATTGTCTTTGACTGTGGTATTCAGTCACAGCAACAGAGAAGTAACCAACACAACTGGCTATTAAACCACAAACTTCATATCAGTAACGTGCCTCCAAATGCAGAAAGCAGCTGTTAATAAAGATGTGGGTATTTAACTATTAAAAGTATTAATGAATGGTATCTTAGGGTTTCTATTGCTATGAAGAGATGCCATGACCATGGCAACTCTTATAAAGGAAAACATTTAACTGAGGTGGTTGCTTACAGTTCAGAGGTTCAGTCCATATCAGTAATGATGGGGAGTACAGTAGCATGAAGGCAGACATGGTGCTGCTGGCTAATCTTGATCAGAAGACAACAGGAAGTGGACTGTCTTACTGGGAGTAGCTTGAGCATAGGAGACCTCAAAGACCACACTACAGTGACACAATTCCTCCAGTAACACCACATCTCCTGCAGCAAGGCCATACCTCCTAATAGTGCCACTCCTTTTGGGGGCCATTCTCCTTCAAACCACCAAAAATGAGTTATTGAAATGTCAAAAAATAATGTTTACTGAAGGAAAAGAAGCAAATTACTATGCAAAGCAAGCAAAACCCACATTTTTTTCCCTTTGTTGTTATACTGGCTGATCTTGTGTGTCAACTTGACACAAGTTAGAGTCATCAGAGAGGAAGGAGCCTCAGTTGAGGAAATGCCTCCATGAGAACCAACTGCAAAGCAGTTTCTCATTTAGTGATCAGTGGGGTAGGACCCAGCCCTTGGTGGGTGGGCCAGGAGGACCAAGCCAGTAAGCAGCTCCCTCCATGGCCTCTGCATCAGCTCCTGCCTCCAGATTCCTGCCCTACTTGAGTTCCTGTCCTGACTTCCTCTAATGATGGACTATGATCTGGAAGTATAAGCCAAGTAAACCCTTTCCTCCCTGCTTTAGTTGGGGTTTTTATTGCTGTTAAGAGACACCACAACCACAGCAACTCTTGTAAAGAAAAACATTTAACTGGAAATTGCTTATACTTCTATTATCATCAAGGTAAGGAATATTGTGGCATGCAGGCAGACATGGTGCTGGAGGAGTAGCAGAGAGTTTTATATCTTTCAGGCAACAGGATGTCGATTGAGACACTGGGCGGTATCCTGAGCATAAGAAACCTCAAAGCCCACCCCCACAGCAACACACTTCCTCCAACCTCCTAATAGTGACACTCCTATGAGATTATGATGACCAATTACACTCAAACTACCACACTCTCCAACTTGATTTTTGGTCATGTGTTTCATTGCAGCAATAGGAACCCTAAGATAGTTGTTCAATGCTACTTCTGCCCTGAAGAACTTAAGATTTCTACATATCCTCAGTATTATATTGTCTTATTTTGATGAGGAAATTATGGCCATGTATGCATATGCCTTATTTCAGGTAGAGCTGTGCTCTCTAACACAGTAGCCACTAGCTGCTAACACTTGAGATGTAGTCTAGCTGAACTGAGACACGATGTAAACATAAGTCACAACATTTTTACAGGCATGGTTTCACAAAGGGAATGTGAACTATCTCATTACTGTTTTTATATTGGGCTGGGAGTGCAGTTCAGTGTCAGAGCAAGTTACATAGTGTGCAAGGCCCCTGGATTCTGTCCCCAGCCCTGGCAAATGTTATCGTCTACACACTTCTTCCTATTGTTTATGTTTGCGCTCTGTTGCTTTGTCATTTGAGACACACCCTCACTATGTAGCCCAGGCTAGCCTCAAACATGTGACACTTTTGTTTCTGCTTCCCAAGTGCTAGGATTATAGCTAACAATCATATTTAGCCTTTTTGCTTTTTGTAAAATGTGTTTACCAAAAAATTTTAAAATTACATTTGTTCCTTGCAGATGAGGCACACACCGTAATTCATATTGCTTCTGGGACTGGGGTCTCTTTGGTATTCTTCACTAATCCAGGCTGAGAATGTATTCTGACTAATTTCCTCAGGGAAGAGAAATTTAACAGATGTTCCTTTTTCAATTCTAGAGTCTTCTAAGATTAACATTTAAATTTTTGGACTGTCTGTTCTCTGGTTACAAATATGAGAGAGACCTGTTTCCATTCATCTGGTGCTTGTAACAGAATCATACCATGCCAATTCATTTGTTTAACCCTCCTTAGAGTCACCTCCGAGGTTTGGACATCAAGTCTCCTATCTGTATGTTAATGGTAGTTTTCTTTTTTTTAAATCAATCTGTCAGTTTGTTTCTAGACAATGTTTTTTTAAATATATTCTGTTGTTTCCTTTTTAAAAAACTCACTGGCTTGTTTTCTTCTTGTATGCCTTTGCTTTTATGGTCAGAGTCTGCCTTCAAATACTGCTTTTAATTACTAGCTGATTGCCCATGAGGTGAGTTATCTAGTCTTCCATAACCTCAATTTCTTCATCATTGCCTCCCAAATGCCGGGATTAAATCACTTGACCCTTAAATGTATTTTTTAAGACAAAATCTAATGTAGCCCAGGCTGGCCTTGTTAAGTATCTGAGGATGGCATTGAACCTCCTCCCTTTAGCTCCTGAGTGCCAGGATAAGAGTCAAGAGCCACCATGCCTAGTTGTGTGCAATGTTGAGGATTGAACCCAGGATTTCGTGTGTGCTAGGCAAGAAGAAACAATTAGCTTAGCCTTCAAACATAGTAGTGAGTAGTTATTAACTTGTCAAGCCATCATACAAATCCCATGAGCCATACTGGAGAAAACCAGGGCTGCCGGACTGTCAAACTCTCAGCCCTGAGACTCCAATGTGAAATCAGTGGTGACACCTGATAGTGTGGGCTTGGGACATGCAACCAATGCCCAGGCCTTTGACAATGGTGACATAATGGCCTGGTAAGGTCAGCTAAGTGTGGTGACATTCAAGAGGCTGAGGCAGGAAGATGATGAGTTCATGGCTAGCCTGAGCTAATGGTTACACAATGTCTCAAAACAACAAAAGACATGGTCATCTCTGGAGGCTGCCATGGTTTAGATGACTTACAACTGCACCTGGTGTTTCTCATCTTGGGGACAAACTGTGTTCATGGAGCAGAAGCAATAGATGTATGTGCTTCCTCACTGAGGGGAAAGCGGTACAGCTGATGAAGCAGCATTCAGTCTGCACCCTCATCTTGGAGAAACATATGCTTTTTAAAAGCTTATTAGCACATACTAATTATAGATAATAATGGGTTTCATCATGTCATTTTCAAGCGTGTATAAAATGTATTTTGATTATGCCCCCCATTGTCCTGACTTGTCCCCTCCCCAATTTTCCTAATTAGTATCAGTTTCTTCTCCCTATCTCCTCCGAACCCTCACCACACCCCACCACACCCCCTTGTCCCAATTTAATCCAGTCTGGTCCCACACTTGCTTTGTTACCAAAGATGGTCTTTAACTCCTGGTCCTCCAACCTTCGCTTCCCACCTGCTGGGGTTACAAACACCCTGCAATCTCCTCCCCTCTGCTGCTCCCCCCTCCCGGCATTTGGTCCAATCTGGCCTCAAACTTGCACACTAGTCACACACTCCATCAAACACCCAGTGATCTTACATTTAAATGCTCAAAAAGCAGCAAGAAGAGTGACAGTTGTTCTCCATAGAGATTTTTTTCCTATCTGACTTTTCTTTCGTTTTTTTTTTTTTTAATCTAAATTTCCTAAGAGAGCTTAAAGGACACTAGCTTACTGGTCCTCTTCTGAGGGAAATTCAAAGGCTCTGCCCGGCTGAGGTGCTGGGGCTGGTGACAGCTTTGGTTTTTTTCCTCCAAACCTCCTCTTAACCTGGCTTGGCTGGTGCCCAGGCAACAAGCACTGAGTAAATGAAACAGGAAAAGGCGTTCAGGGGTTGGCTGTACAAGAGAGAGAGGCTCGGGAGGCCAAAAGCAAAGTTGTTTCAGCAAAGACAGTGGCTGGCCCTTGCGGGTCACATCCCCGAGGGGATGCGACCCGGGCTGCACTTACCCCAGGAAGGTGATGAACCGCGGGTCGGTGGCCAGGTTGGCGTCGATGGTGATAGACAGGAACGAGGGACTCACGAGATGGAGCGGCTGCTCGGTGGAAAACTCCAAGTCTACCACGTCCTCTGCCAAACCTGTCCCGGTTGGAGTGCCCTGGGCCAGGGCACCGAGTGGTCCCCAGGGCCCCCAGAGCCACCCGAGCAGCAGCAGCAGCCGCCGCATCTCACCTGGCTGGACCGACTGCAGCCGTAGGAGCTCCCGCCCCGGGCGCCTGGCTCTGCTTTGCCTCTGGCGCCAGGGCTCGGTACCCTCCCTCGGCGCTCCATCCCTCCCACTCCTCCCCTGTGTTCCTCCCCTAGCGCCCTCTTCCCCCCGCCCTCGCATCCGCGCGCTCACTCATTTCCGTGCTGGCTTCTCCCTCCGCGGCTGCGGTCACGTCCACTTTTGAAATCATCTATAGCCATCCGAAGGGTGCGGAGGTGGCCAGAATCCAAGATCCTGGGAGGCCTGGAGAGGGAACGCCTCGGAGCCCTGGGTGCACGGGGTGGGGGTGGGGGACCCAGCTTCCAGGTGTCCTACTCACACTGCCCCCTCTTCTAGGTCCTTTTCACTGAGCGCCAGGGCTGGATCCTGAATTAAAAGCCCCGGCTGAGGATTCAGCCAGCCCATACCCACACTTCCATCTGTCCCAGCCCATACCCACACTCCCATCTGCCTTAAGACACTTTACACTTGAGCCTGCCAAAGTCTGACTAACCTAGTGTCCTCTGCCGGGGATCTGCTTCTTAGGTGTCCCACTATCGCTTGAAAAACTGATGTGAGCATCAGCTAAATCGCAGCTAAAAATCGCCCTCAAAACACTCTCTCTCTCTCTCTCTCTCTCTCTCTCTCTCTCTCTCTCTCTCTCTCTCTCTCTCTCCCTCCCTCTCTCTCTCTCTCCCTCTCTCCTCAACTCATGAAAATAGTACTTGGGAGAGCATAAGAGTGTCAGATACTGCTAGGCAGTCACAGGACAGCTAAAGTACAGCTAGGAACCCGAGCAGCTACTCTTGGAATTCGGAGCAAATTCTCACCAGGCATTTATCTCTCGTTGTTGCCTCAACTTTTCTTTATTTTTTTTCCTTTGCCATTTTACACTGGAAAATAATGATGGCAAGCACTAAGTGCTTAAGTCTCTCTCTCTCTCTCTCTCTCTCTCTCTCTCTCTCTCTCTCTCTCTCTCTCTCTCTCTCTCTCTCTCTCTGTGTGTGTGTGTGTGTGTGTGACCCCACTGCCACCAGTCTCCCAGAGAAAGCTCTCTGGCACTTCTATGCAACTGAATCCCTCACCCCCACCCCCAGTACACAGCATCCTAACATGTTAGAGTTGACTGTATTTGCTTCTGGATGCTGCTCGCTGTCACCTTCTCTATGGGCTTATAAAGTTCTCAAAAGCAGAATGGGGGTTGTGGTGCACCTGCCAACTGCTCATGCATGGCACGGTGCCTGCCCTTTAGTAGGCAATCAACTCATACTTACTTAGCAAGCAAATGACACCAAAACCCTTAGAATTGTCTGTTTAGATTGCGCCACCAGTCAAACAGTAAATAAAAATGGGTTGGTATGGAGTGTATATCTAATTTGATCCCATCTGTCTATCCTTAGGCAACTTAAAAATTACATGCATAGTTAATGCTGTGACCTGCATTGAGTTGGTATGCTATAGCCATGGGCTACAAAGCGAGAAAAATTCATGTTAACAGCAAACTGTCTGGCGTGTATAACCCTATTGAAGGGGGAAGCAGAAGACTGGCTGTTTTCAGTCTGTGTCATGACGTGGATTCTACCTGTCACCTCCCTAATGATGTCACGGTGTGAAGTCATACCAATTTCTCTGGAGTATTTTGGAAAGGAGATCATTGCAAGTGTTACATATGGATGGGCAAGTAGGATCCACAGGCAAGTTGCTAACCAGGAAACAAATGAAGCAGAGGCACTGCTGTCTGTGATGAGCTCTTGCTGGGGATCAGTTGTGGCTCTAGACTCTAAGTTGATTCGTGTTGTAGTGCCAGAGGAAGATACGGTCATACTCAGAAACTGCCACTTTGGAGACAAGTCCACTTCGCCTGGATTTTCATAAAGTCCCTGACCTGCATTTTAGCCCTCAGTAGATTTGTACTGTTGGACCAGTTGTTAATTGTTTTGGGTTTTTTTTGTTTGTTTGTTTGGTTGGTTGGTTGATTGGATGTTTTTATGAGACAGGATTTTTCTGTGTAGCTCTGGCTGTCCTGGAACTTGCTCTGTAGACCAGGCTAAACGTGTGCTACCACCATGTTTTTTTGTGTGTGTTTTTTGTTTTGTTTTGCTTTGTAAACATGTGCTAACACCACATGTTTTTGTTTTGTTGTCGTTGTTGGGTTTTTTTTGGGGGGGGGCAGGGTTTCTCTGAGCATTCCTGGCTGGCCTGGAACTCACAGAGATCTACCTGTCTCTACCTCCCGATGCTAGGATTGAAGGTGTGTGCCACCACTGCCTGGCTATTTTTTGCTTTTGAGACAGAATCTCACTGTTGTCCTGAAGCTCACTACATGATGGAGCTGGCCTGGGATTCACATATTTGCCCACCTCTGCCTCCTGAGTGCTGGGATCAAAGGCGTGCACTACTCTGCCATATTCTGTCTTAGACAGTTTTTTAACTTTGAAGAGCTTCAAGTTCATCTGTCAGATGAAGGTACTCAGGCATAGTTCAAAGTCCACCTTTGTTTTTAATTAACCAACTTCAGTATATTATGTGTGACACACCCAGCTCCATTCACAGCCTGAAATGTTTCTTCAGGTGAGAAAATCAAACACTATCGCCTCACTGGTTTAGGTTTTCAGAGACTAGGTTTTGCTCTTTAGCCCAGGCTGGCCTTGAACTTGTGCTGATTTTCCTACCTCTACTCTGGAGAGCTAAGATTACTGATGTGTGCCTCTGTGACCAGTTACCCCCATGTAATCTTCAGAATGGTTGTGTAAAGCAGTTAAGTTCTGGGTCCTAATCCTTGATTATAAATTTCCCTACCATTCCACCTAGATTTGGTGACTTGAAAGAAATAAGATTTCATAGGTCTTGGCCTGTCAGTGGTGATGCATGCTTTTAGTCCCAACACTCAGGAGGCAGAGGCAGGTGGATCTCTGTGAGTTCGAGACTAGCCTGGTCTACAGAGCAAATTCCAGGACAACCAGGGCTACACAGAGAAACCAAAGATTTGACAGATCTGCACTTGTCTATCTATAGACATACCCAGAGTCTTTGGGATTGTTGCTGTTGTTTTTTTAGACAACCTTTCCAAGCTGGCTCTGAATTCTCTTTGTAGCTGAAGATGACCTGGTCTCACTATCTGACATTAGCTGGCCTGGAACTTGCTATATAGACCAGGCTGGCCTCAGATTCTGCCTTCTCAGTAATGGGACCAAAGGTGTGTTCCAGCCAGCCCAGCAACTTTAAATGTCTGACCCTTCTGCATCTACCCTCCAAGTGCTGGGATTACAGCTGTGTGCCACCAAGTCTGGCTTGTGTGGTTCTGGGGGTCAAACTTAGCAAGGCCACCTGTGTGGTAAGCAAGGATTCTACCAGCTGAGCCACATCCCCAGCCCCTTTGGCTTGTTTCATTAAGCTTCTATGTGTACACATTGCTATAATGTGTATTTTATACTATTTAATGATTGCCTCTCTGTCTTAAGGAAAATGGGTACTAGAGCCAGAAAATGAGCCAAAACTATGAGAGAAAAGCATCATTAAGAAGAAATAAGCACCATCAGCCACATGCAATAAGCAAATAGATTTTTATATTATAATCTGGGTAGTTATCCAAAAGTCCCAGGAAATAAGCTGAATGGCGAATTTGGTCACCTGTCACTGGGATGATAAAGGCCTTGGGAGATGCTACTAATTATACTTGTGTCAAAAAAGTATAATATGGTTTACTGAGTGGTATATTATTTATGGCAATGCACAGGCTCTATAAATAATGTGAATGGAATACATCCGGGGCACAAAGAAACCAGGAAATGCATCGGGAAGGTGGAGCGCTTTGAGTAGGAGAAAGCAGAGTCTCGGGATGGTTTGTTTAGTCTGAGCTCCCTACTACATCTGCTCTTGGGCCATGGCCAGTTAGCTATGGGTAGACATGTGATAAACTAAATGTGCAAGGTCCTGCGCGTGTGCGCGCGCACGCGCGCGCGCGCGCGCGCACACACACACACACACACACACACACAGACAGACAAAAGAAAGGAGGATAGAAGAGAAGGATAGGGGGATGAAGGGTAGTATTCTGAAGGTGGGCAAAAAGATGTCATGATGTGTTGGTTTCAGATTCCAAGTGACTTGAGTAAGGAGGTGATGGGGGATATCCTCCTGTATTCTATGTTTCTCTTATTGGTTGATGAATAAAGCTGTTTAGGTAAATGGACAGCTAGGATTTAGCCAGGCAGGAAATCTGAGCAGGGACAGAGAAAACTAGCAGGTAGAGTCAGGGAAAGGCCATGCAGCTGCCAAGGAAGCAAGAGATCCAGGTATCACTTGTAAGCCAAGACCATGTGGGGATACACAGATTAACAGAAATGGGTGATAATTAAGATAGAGCTAGCCAGTGAGAAGCCTGAGCAGTAAGCCAAATAGTTTATAATTAATACAAGCCTCTGGGTGTTATTTGTGACTAAATGGCTGTGGACCAGGCAGAACAGAAACTTCCGTCTGCAAGGATGCCTGTGAAACAAACACTCAGTCTGCTGAAGAGAGTTTGTACTGACTGACCCTTGCATTTCTGGATGGAGGGAAGGTTGGAGGGGGTCACTGAGTGGCTAGTTGACTGCATAGATGTTGAATGTGTTACTTTCTCAGACATTGATTTAATTACTTATGGGAGGGGGTAAGACAGGGTGTCACTGTGTAGTACTAGCTGTCCTAGAACTCACTATACAGACCAGGCTGGCCTCGAACTCATAGAGATCTGCCTGCCTTTGCCTCCTGAGTGTTAGGAGGTGCACCAGTACACCTGGCATGAAATTTAATTTTTAAAATTATTTGTGTGCATGTGTGTATGAGTGCAAACATGTCTGTGTCACAGTGCGTATGTGGAGCTCCACTTCGAACATGGTCTTTTGTTGTTCACTTCATACCTCAGGCTAGCCACTGCATACACTGCATACCTCAGGCTAGCCACTGCATACCTCAGGCTAGCCACTGCATACCTCAGGCTAGCC